TGAAAAAAAATAAACTATTTATGGGAATTCGACATTTTTCTTGGCGATACTTTGGCAAATCATGGCCAATCATAATTCATATCATCTCCGTTGGGTGCCACGGAGAAATGGCATGGAATTCCACGCCTGCAACCCGTGGTGATGCTTGTATCACTTAAAGGAGCTAGGTTGACTACCATTTCTGCATTAATCAAGAAAAAAACATGAATCCCAAAGAAGATTCCTGGTTGGTGGTTTTAACCATCTTGAAAAATATGAAAGTCAATGGGAAGAATTATATATCCCATATATGAAATGGAAAATAAAATTCATGTTTGAAACCACCAACCAGCCATAGTTATTACTTCATTGCCCATTGATATTCCATATGATACACCCATAATGTTTGAAACCACCAACCAGATTCTAATGCCATGTTCTTGTTGATGCTTCCCTGACTTGTCATATGGCATCCTCCCAGTGAAATCCTCAAAATGGCCATCCGAAATGCTCCGAACAGATACCCCGAATGTTCCGAACAGCTACGAATTCAAAACTACCCAGTTACATACCCATGACCTGTTGGTAGTCAAACATCTTTAAACAAATCCACCATTGATGGCTTTTCCCAGCAACCTCCATTTACTGTGTTTTCCATAGTTGTCCATCGTTGTTCCATAGTTTTCCATCGTTTTTCCATATTTGTCCATCGTTTTTCCTATGATTTTATGAAGATTTCCCGAGCCCCCATTTCTACTGGCAGAGGGGCCCCAGTGAGGTAAATCGCGTTCAGTTGGTGCAGTTCTAACTATAACAAGTGATATGGCGATATGATTATGGCGATATGATATGATTATAATAGGGATAATATCATGGGATATCATCAACTATTGGTTGGTGGTTGACCAACCCCTCTGAAAAATATGAAAGAGTTAAAAATTATATACACCCTATCTGGTTGGTGGTTTTGAGCCACCCCTCTGAAAAATGATGAAGTGAAAGTCAGTTGCGATTATGATATTCCCAATAGATGGAAAAATAAAAATCATTTTCCAAACCACCAACCAGATAATAAGAAGTTGGTGTATGATACACAAAATAACTCTTATAACTATATTTAGATGGGGTTATGTTCAGCAACAAACATAACTTAACTGGGGAGCCCCCATCAGAAGACTGAGATTTGTTTCGCGGCCTTCTCGATAATCACTTCCTCCACATCCGCCGCTGTCTCGGCCAGCACTTTCTGGACAAATTTGTCCACCTCGGCTGCAGGGAAAACCAGGCTTTTATATGCTTTATGCTGAGGAAATGGTCCTGTGGTTTAAAAAAAAAAACAACAATTTTTTTAGTAACTTGCCACCTTGTAGGAATCGCAGTCTTTTACGTACGGTCTCATTTGTTGTTTTGAATGTTTTGAACGTGAAGGAACCAGAAAATATGATAGAACGAACTATTGAAAAATCATATCACATAATAGAAAAAAAGAGATTATAACAGATTATAATCAATGAAATCTGACGAAATGTTCCAGAAATGGGATGTTGATTTTTGACCAACTTAAGGGATGCTGATTTTCCAGCAAAGACGTTGAGTTCAAGTCTGACATAAGGGATTTGCTGATGTTTATGGTCCAAAGTCCAGTTTATGACCAAACCAATATTCCGAATGGTAATTTTTGTGGAAACTGTTTGGCAGACGTGTAGTTGATGACTTGCTCCAAAAAACAACCTCCATATTTTCCTCGTGGATTTCCCCGAAAAATGGTTGACATCGGTATCGGGTATCCCAATAGAGTTTCCCCAACTGCTTGGTGGTGCAATGTGCCCATCGTGAAAAATGATGGACTTCGTCAATGGGAAGAATGACATCCCATATATGAAATGGAAAATAAAATTCATGTTCGAAACCACCAACCAGCCATAGTTGTTACTTCATTGCCCATTTATATTCCATATGATACACCCATAATGTTTGAAACCACCAACCAGTCAAAACTGTGGAGCTTCATGTACGCAGAGCACGCCGCTGCGCTCTGCCCTTTCGATGTCAGTCTTTTTCCACATCTTTGGTGGCCGTGTTCTGTTCTGGGCTTCGAAAGACGGCACCCGAACTGTCCCACAAAATTCTTGTCAACAGAATCATGGGTACCATTGAATACCAGTAAATTATCCCATTGACTAACAATATCGGTACCATTTACATCCCCTGGTATATTGATAAAAAATAACAGTTGTTATTCATCAATATAGCTGGGTACCATTTACAGTAATTGAAAAGCCGAGGGACCCAGGGACCCAGGGAAAGCAACTGTCCAATGCTAAAATTTGAGTGGCTGACCACTGGACCACCCGTCAGGGACTTAAAGAAATTCCTGCGTTTGTTGAGGAAATCACGATCTCTGTTGAGTTCCCTGTGTTCAAGTGCTGTACACAAACAGATACATATATATATATGGCTGGGGGGCTCTGGTGAACATCGAAATAGTTGGCAAATGGTAGCTGTAGGTATCGACCCGATCCATATGTGATATGTTTCGCTGCCCAAATACGAATATCAGAGTGTCTCCGTTGGGGACAGCTTTACGTTTACCCTCTGGTGAACTAACAGTTTGCTATTGAAAATGGCCCAGTCGAAATAGTGGATTTACCCATTAAAAATAGTGATTTTCCATAGCTATGTTAGTTTACCAGAGGGTATCCCACAATATCCCACCAAAAAAAACCCTATATCTTCCAAAAATGACTTCACCCAAAATGGCCGGACCTGACCATATCCGACCCCTTCGCCTCGCTCAGAGGGTAGTTTTTGCAGATGGGCCCAGCCGAAGTGCAGCATTCTACCGATAGCACTTTTGGCTTTTCAGCACTCTGCCGGCTGCAAATGGTTTCCACCAGTGCTGCGGCTGGATTTATGGTACCAGCTATTGGGGGATCCCAAAACCATTGGTTCTAATACAAAATCAATGAGTTTTGGATGATTGTGGTACCCATTGGTACCCCCATTCTAAGAAACTCCCATCATTCTATAGCTTAAACAGCAGAATGATTCGAGATGTTTGAAACCACCACAGACATCAGCTGCTCCGCGCTTTGCAAAGCAATCTTATGAGCTTCGAGAACGGAGCAAGCTGCACAAATTCGAGGTGAGAACGTCGACTTTTTTCAGACGCCAGAGGAGAAGTAGCTCGGTCCATGAAAAATTATGTTGATCTTTCTCTAACCATCAATGAGCACTACCCTGGAATCAAACGTGGCAATGGAAATCCCTTTTTTCAACGGTACAATGTCATCTACAACGAGGTATTTTCCAGCCAGCCACGTTTGATGACCCGAGGATACCGGAGGATAGTCCACCATACTTTGGAGATCGAAATGAGTTGGACACCGACCATCAGATTCTCTTGATACAGCTGGTGCCAATGTCCTACAATGTGGGGCCCCCCAGTTATAAGTTGGTTTATAAACCCCATTAACTATAGTTATAAGTACCATAAACCATAGTTATTGGAGTTATAAACCAACTTAGCTATCTTGGGGGCCCCACATTGTAGGAACCCTTCAAGCATTGCAAAGTTCTTCAGCAGGCTGGTCGTATTCTTGGGTTTAACCATGACATTATCCCATTGAAATGAACATACAGTATACAATAGTGATATCCCATTCGCGAGAACAATTACCCATCGGATAAGAAAGAAATTGGATTATTACTTATTGCCACTACAATGTGAGTATCCTATGGCCATGTGTATTTGTTGTTGTTGTTGTTGTTGTGTTTAAACCATCATTACAACCACTATGGATTGAAAATTAATGATAACACGGGGGTAAAAACACGGTTTATGGTTTATGGTCATATATTTAATTCCCTAGCAATCGATTGATGATCATTCCCCAATACACGCAATCTACTCAGGTTTTGACCATAACACATATTATGCAACTGTGGATATAAACCGTATATATGTACGTATAAATGGGCTATAATATAGATACTCTTGTTTCTATTGATGTTCATACATTAAAGTTGGAGTATATACCAATAATGGCAAATCATGGTTGGATTCCCAATCATGGCACATCTCGGGGTAAATGATAGTATTGTTTCACCTGAACTTAGGCTATTTTTGGGATACCCAAAAACATTCCAGTGAGATCACGACGTGAGGTCCAGCCATATGGAGCTTTCCTAAAATGGGCTCCCAAAAATCATCCATGCTTTTCCAAAGTACCCGGCCTGGTAAACTAACACTTTGCTATTGAAAATGGCCCAGTCGAAATAGTTGATTTACCCATTGAAAATGGTGATTTGTCCATAGTTACGTAAACGTTTACCAGGCCGGGTAATCCATTCCCCCCAATGTTAAAAGACCTATTTGGATTGCGGTGTTCTATAGCATGATGGTACCCAAAATCATCGAAGTCATGGATGACCAACTCTGGTGACTTGGGGATCATGACTATGACGGCCTGTCTGAACGACCTGGGTATTCCTAAATCCACTGATTCATTATCATATTCCCTATAGCCACTTTTTTGGTGGATATACCCCATTTTCATGGCCCCACATGATGTATATTCCCTAAATAAGCTATTATCCACTATATCCAAATCAGTGCATATAGTATTCCCTAAATAAGCCGTTTTGGGGGGATATATATGATATAGCCCATTTTCATACAGACCCTTAAATGTCATATTGATGGTTAGATATCCCACTATATCCCATGATATTCCATCATGGTTGGTTAACATGTCCCATTAGATCTCGCTGAATTGTAATTGTAGCCATATAGTTGTGACCCATGTGGAGGTTTTCTAAAATGGAGGGTAAACTTAAATCATCCATTGTATATACCATCTGGTTATTTAACATAGCCATGGAAAATCACCATTTGTAATAGGTGAACCATCGATAAATGGGCCATTTTCCATGGCTATGTTAAATAACCAGAGGGTAATTAATAGGATTTTCCATTATAGATCATCCAGCTATGAGGGGGTACCCCCATTGATGGAAACCCTATGTGATGCTTGTCCCACTATGTGATTGCTCGATATGTCTATCCGTCGCCTAAGGGCTCTCTCCTCTGAGCTTCGTCGATGAGAACGCTGCCGACAAGCGCGTGGCCAAAGAGGGTTCCTCGTCAGACTCCTGCGGCCGTGAACCGCCGTGAACCGGTATCCGGATCTCAAAGCGTGGAAAAACACGGAAAGTTGTAGAAAACTCTGGTGGGTCTCCCTATTTTGGCGGAGAACTCTTACAGTAATTGTTGCTGTTCAAAGCCCCATTGCTAGGGGATGAAATGCCTGAGTTTTTGAGATCAATCTAGATTCTTGTTGAGCTAGTTTTTTTCTACAGAAAGCCACATCTTTGCTGCTACTTAAATCAAATTCACCATCTTTGTTGGGTTGAACTCAGTTTTGCAGTGGAAACTCAGGTTTAGCTACCGCTTTTCGTAGCGCACATCTATTTTTTGGGGTGGGTGATGCTGTACTTCCGTGGGTGAAACATGTTGGTTGCTATTAAGACATTGCCTGAAACCTGTCCAACCACTAACTTGGCCAGCTTTGAAAAAAAGTATCATCACTAGGAGTTTCCAATAAAAACCCTTCACTAGCCACTGTTTTTTCCCACTCTTCTGGTTGCTTCCGACCAATTTTAATTCTTGACGAAGCCACCTCTTCCACTCTTGCTGGTGGCAAACTCAATATGAATACCCGGCCTGGTAAACATACAAAAAGCTACGGAAAATCAGGTTTTTTAATCATAAATGGGCCATGGTCAAGAGCTATGCATAGCTATGTTAGATTAGCAGAGGCAGTTGACATATCCATATCATGCCGCATGCCCCATGTTTCTCTCATGTTCGGTGGCTAAATCCGATTATTTCTATTGGATAAAGGATAAATCGTGACTTTTGAACAGGCTCCAGCTGGTGAAATCAATGTTTCCCGATTTTGATGCTTGGAAATGACCGGTAAATCCCGATTTTGATGACTTCCAAAGCTGGCACTAACGGACTAATCCCTTTATAAATGTCACCTTTCCACTGATGGTTTTCCCGTACGAGTACCCCCTGGCATTTCCCTTGACAAAATTAAGGCTATGCCAACCCTGGAGGATTATCCCACTTCGTTCTGTTTTTATGGGACTTTCATAAGCCTCGTATTTTTTTTAGTCTCCAATTCATAAGGTGATTATTCATAAGTCTCCAATTCATAAGTCTCCAATTCAATCACCAATTGTAAATTCCCATAGATCAATGGGAAAAAAAAAACCTCAGGTGATCCTGCGATCAGTTTCTTCAGTGGGATGAGGGATGATCGATCTGATCCGATGATCCTGCGAGCATTACCCTCTGGTAAACTAACATAACTATGGAAAATCACCATTTTTAATGGTAAAATCCACTATAAATGGTCATTTTCAATAGCTATGTTAAATTACCAGAGGGTACCTATATAATTATATACCTATGATAAATCCCAATCACCCTCTGGTCATTTGTCAAGTAGCTATTGAAAATGGCCATAGAAATAGTGGATTTTCCCATTAAAAATGGTGGATCTTTCTATAGCTATGTAAACGTTTACCAGAGGGTAATATACACCCCATATTCATAAACAGCCCAAACTAAAACGCTATACTAGGTATACCTACGATGATCACCCTGGGATATGACCGAAAGCCTCATCGCCATCTGTTGAGGACGACGATTCAGAGTCGGACTCTCCTGAAGATGGATGACATGGGAGAAAAAATGGTGTTCAACGGAGAAAAAATCCTCTTTTTTTTCATGGGGAGAATGATGACCTACCATTGATATGATTGCGAGATATGTCATGTTTATATGTATATGTATATTTATATGTATATGTATATATAATATAATATATATAGTAATATATAGTGTGTGTGTAGTCATTCTTGCCATCAATATCTGTCCAAGAATGATGACAAACTATTGAATTTGGGGAAATATGGGGAAATATGGGGAATTATGTGTCATGAAGCAATTCTAAAAATAAAGGAAAATTGTAATGAAATGGTAGTTAGTGACGATAATTCAACCTTATCTTGGTTTGGAATGTTCACCGGTCGCCAAAACTGATGTGGGGATACCCTAAGTTATGGCAATTGTCTGAACCATGGGATTGGATTTTGAGGCTTCAAATTTTGAGACAACCCACAAAATGATGTGGATATTGGGGAGATCTTCCAGGATCTCCAAGAAAGTCATGGAAAAACCATGGGAGAATCAGCATCAAATGGTGGACAAAACGATGAGAATTCCCAGTGAAATGTCGAGCTCCGGGCTCCGCCTCGATTTCCATGTGAAAAGTGATGCAGCTTGAAGGTGTCATAATATGGATGAAACAATTTCATAAAGCATCCCCCAGTCATCAGATTTTTTATGGGTGGTATAAACTAACCATTCCCAGTCATGGGTCTATGACATTGTTTTACCCGCATTACTGCTCTTATTGACACGTCAACAACTTCCCAGGTATCATCGGGATCCAGCTCGGAGAACGTGGTTGACAAAAAAGCGATCCTAAGTCATCCCAAATTCTAACTCAGGTGACCGAAACGTGTGTGTGTATATATATAACTATACTATATTGTAGTAGATTATATTATATTGTAGTATATCATATTTTACTACATTCTATTATATTATATTATATTATATTATATCATGCTATATTATATTTTGTTATATTGTATCGTATTGTATTGTATTATATACATATACATATACATATACATATATATACATATACATATACATATACATTTACATATACAAATCGTTTAGACATCTACGTATATTTGAACATCTATATATATATAGAGAGAGTATGCATCTACGCATTACCATCCCAAAAAAGATGCCGAAAAGTGTTTCCAGGAGGTTGGTTCGATGACATATTACAAATATTGCAAACTAATTATATATATATAATTATATATGCTACCCCCAAAAAAAGTCCAAAACAGTGAAAAAGTGGACTTTTGGGGTGGTAGCAGCTAGCATGCATATATATATGTATGTATGTATGTATGTATGTATGTATGTATGTATGTATGTATGTATGTATGTATGTATGTATGTATGTATGTATGTATGTATGTATGTATGTATGTATGTATGTATGTATGTATGTATGTATGTATGTATGTATGTATGTATGTATGTATGTATGTGTAGGTTTGCAAGGCTTCGGCGTCTTTTTGGGGGTTGATTTTGTTTTATATACTGTCCTTCCAGCTGTCTGATGAGACCATCCACCGAGAAGTCTGAGGACAACCTAGTTGCGAAAGGCGACTAAGACGATGAGACCCTCTGGCAATTCATGAATCTTAATGGAATTTAATGGGATTTCATGGGATTTGAATAGGATTTAATAGGATTTTAATGGGATTTAATGGTGCTTTAATGGAATTTTTAATAGGATTTAATGGGATGAAATCAACGAACTAAATGGCAATGTTCAAGAGTTATGCTAAATTACTAGAGGGTAAAGGATTTGACTACATGATTGTAGAGAGTGAAAAAAAACAACTTGCTTAGAAAGGACAAGACAACTTGGAAAGGATATGTCCTGAAGGGATATCACGAATATTGAGAACTGAATGAGGATTTAACCATATAATGTGGATAGAATTGGATATACAACCACCCCAAGTAATGTCAACCCTGGATTAATAAACTCTGTTGAGAACCCCTTACCCCCAACCTAATGAAAATTGGTACCCCTATATCATTAAATTGCTGGTTTATTAATCTTAGACTAACCGTAGGGGTGAAAGTCACTGAAAGCGGATATTTCCCACTGGTCATTCTAACCTAGCAGTAAGCCCCTCATGGCGACATCAGGAAAAAAATGGTGGAATAGAGATCCAACCCATCCAAAAATCATGAAAAAAGTATCCCACTATACTGGAACAAATCAGAAAAATGACAATGACCACAAATGCTGGGACATTATATGACATTATATGGGGATGGATCAAAACCCTGGTACCTAGTGAACCCCAAAATAGCTGGTAAATGGATGTTCATCCCCTAAAAACGGTATGTATAGGTATTGACCCATACCCATATCATTTTTCCAGAACCATCAAAAAAAAATCGCGAAAATCGTCCCAGCTACGGATTGGGTGTGTAGATATCTCCTTCCACTTCCACACCGGTGGCGTTCTCCAGGTACGTCTTGAAGATCACGTTCAACAGCCCGATGGAGACCGTCTTGGTCGCCGTGACCAGCCGTTCGATGCGGGTATAACTGCCCGGCAGCCGGGTCTTGGTCAAGTAGTACAGGGCACAATCCGTGAAGGTGTTGCCTGGTTTTGCCCAAGGAAAACATGTGGCTATGGCCATGCAAAATTCAAAATCTACCCTCTGGTGAACTAACATAGCAATGGAAAATCACCATTTTTCATGGGAAAATCCACTATAAATCTATCTTTTGTGGATTCAAAAAAAAAATGGTACCCTCTGGTAAACAGCCACATAACGAACTGGAAAGATCCACCATGTTATAGCTGGGAAAATCAACGATTTCGACTGGGCCATGGCTTCAATAGCTATTTGACAGTCATTACCAGAGGGTAAACCTCCATTTTCCTATGGTTTTCCTATGGTTTGCTGTCATCTGGGCTGAAAAAAAATGGTAGATTAACCCATGGGAAAACCGAAAAAATCGCATATCGACTCGGTAAATCAAGGAGTTGCAGTTCTTGTAGAAGACATCATAGGTACCTGGCTGCGAGACGCGGCTCGAGGCAACTCGACATGAGGGGAGGCTCAGGGGACCACGAAGATAGGATGAGATTTTGATGGTCGAATGGGCACAAAATGGCACAAAGCTCGAAGTTGACGCACTTGAAACTGCGGGGATTTCCTTGGGAAAATCCATGAAAGCACGGCGGAGGAACACTGGAGGGGAGTTCCTTCGTTGACCCATTGACCCGGAGGGATGGTAGGAAAGATCCACTGATCCAGCGATTTTAATGGGAAAACTCACTATTTCAATGGTGATTTTCAATAGCTATGTGGCTGTTTACCAGAGGGTAGATGGTTTCTCATCCCCTTCTGAAAAACAATAGCTGCTTGGTGGTGCCATGTGCCCGTCTTGAAAAATGATGGAGTGAAAGTCAATGGGAAGGATGACATCCCATATATGAAATGGAAAAATAACAAATGTTCCAAACCACAACCAGATAATCATTGGGGATCATCATGCCAAATATTCATTTAACGAACAATATTTGAAACCACCAACTGACTTGTAATTGGTTCCGTCCCATTATATCCAATTGCATGACCCTTTTTCCAAAAATGTATAATTATACATATTACAGTATAAATAATATGGTTAAAACGATAATAAACCATCCCCAAAATCACCATTTTTATAGGTGCTATAAACCATCAAAAATGGGGTGGTTTATTACTGTTTTGCCCACATTATATATATAATTATATATATAATCCCAATAAAGATCCATTTACCCCAACCTTCAAAAACTGTTCATATTGGCGTCGCCTCGTTCGAAGTGTTGCTGCAGCGCTGCCACCAGTTGTCGCCCTGACTGGCTGCTATATCCCATGGGCGTCACCACGGTATTCCGCTTCTTTACGGGACCATCACCTGACTGGAACCATGGGAGCGGCGGAAGAGCCAGGGAAAATTTGGGCCAAATCGTTGGAAAATGGGGGAAATGATGAAAAAATGGGGATTCAGCAGGGAACATTGGGATGAAACAACCTCAAAATCATCATTTTCTCTGAGAAAATATGGATGTGTCTTCTTCTTTTTACTGGAGGTTTAATGATTTCCCCTGTGAAAATTTAGCACTTTTTCAGACAGACTCAAATGAGTGGTTTTAGGTGAATTTGCAGCAACCTTTAAAACAGGTTTATATAACTTTAAAAAAATGCACGGAAAAAAATGCAAAACAGTTCGTGATGTCCACTGCTTCGTTGCATTTTTGGTGGGATAATACTCCTTTCTGGCCGATGAAGCTACTGGAAAATCCATTCAAAAAATCTCATCAACTTAAAAATTGCCCAGGTCACTGACTTCGCCATCCTCGTCCGAAGCCGACGCTTGGCACGCTTGGCTCTGACCCTCTGCCTGCTGCTCCAAGGTGTGCGAAAAGAGGGGCGGCGCCTCCAAAATGCCGATCGAATCGAAGAAGTACTCGTGCGAGTCAACAATCCTGGGAACAGATCATCACAGGGGCCCCGTTGTGAGGTTTGTAAATCGCGTTCAGTTGGTGAAGATAACTATAATATATAACAAGTTGGTGTAGGATACGCTTAAATAACTTTCTATTTAGATGGGGTGATGTTCACCAACAAACATTTCACTGGGGGGGGGCCCATCAACTGATGTAAAAATATCATCCTGGGAGTCTGCGATCCGGAATTCTCCGGTGATTTTTTTCATGGGACAAGTCATCGAAGAGGTTGAAAAATGGGGACCAAATGGGAGGGGTCTGCCGGGCATGAAGAACCATCACTTACCCATAACGGTTATGACTAGCATCGCCATGGTTTTTCGATGGCCCATTTATCGAAATAGATGGTTTACCGAACTTAAAAATGGTGGATCTTTCCATGGCGAACTGTAACAAATAACCAGATGGTCAGGTTTTACTCCGCAAGAGTATCCCTCTTGCGAATTCCCAGGTAGTTTTTGCTCATGGATTTTCACAAGACAATGGAAAAATGAGTGGAATTTCTGGCACAAAAGAATACAAATGATGGAACTTTAGTCTCTGTTAATCAAACATGGCTGGCGGGAAAATCCACCATTTCTGGTAAACAGCCACATAGCGAACTGGAAAATCACCATTTTGAATAGGTAAATCAACTATAGCTGATTTGAATAGGTAATGTGGTATTTTCTACAGCTACAAATAGGTGATTTAGTTGACATCACCAGAGGGTAGTTATACCCTTTTATAATAGCTATAAATGTGGTATTTTCAAAGGCTATTTGACGTCACCAGAGGGTCGTTCGCTCCGCATCCAGACATCGTCCAACGTCTGCGAATCATCTCGGAGCCATTAGTATCCCATTCGTATCCCATCATAAATTCCCAGTCAAATCCCAGGCAAGTCCCATTCAATTCCCATTAGATTCCCATTAAATTCAATTCCCAGTCAATTCCCATTCAATTCCCATTCAATTGCCAGTCAAGTCCCATTAAAATCCCATTAAAATCCCATTAAAATCCCATTAAAATCCCATTAAAAACCCCACAAACTCCCATGAAATTCCGGACATGACCAAAGCCATCACCCAGGAGCACTGAGGTGTGGTACCCTCGCATCCCAGCCACGCGAATGATCTCCTCACTTCATGCGGAATCTATAGGACATTTGGGTGCTTTCTCTGGTGGGGGTTTCCATAAATGGGGGTACCCCAATAGCTGGTTGGTTTATAAGGGAAAATCCATCTATAAAGTGGATGAGAACTGGGGGTACCCCCATTTATGGAAACCCTCATGTGGGTTTTTTCGCTGGAAAACTCCTCGTTTGAATTGGGTGGAGGAGTTCTGTGACCCACTTGACACTGATTTTTGGTTCTCCCTATAGGTTCTTTGGGTCGGAAAAGGCCCCATGTTCGAACGATGGTTTTCCAGCGGCCAAGACCTCCTTCGAGTTCGGGGTTCCAGTGGCCAAGTTTGATGACAGAGGATTAAAATGAATTAAACATAGTTAAATCCATATCTAGTTCCATCATTTTCCAATGATGCACTGGTGAGGTACCGTTGACTGTTGGTTCTATCTCCAATCCCATTAAAACAAAACTTACTGGTGCTAAACGTAAGGAATGGATGGGTTGCTGGGGGTTGCTGGGATTATTATTCATAGTTAGCCAGTGGATCATTCCCTCATTCCCTACTAAGCACCAGTAAGAAAATAAATCCCCCATCCGCCCATCTGCTCTGCCCTGTAAAATCCCCATCTGCCATCGGCCAAGAGACCGTGGCAGCGAGGTAGACGTGATGAACATAGCCGTCCTGGACGTGGAGCCAGGAAACAGACTGTCACGTTACGGTCATCACCGTCATGCCACTCTGGCGGTATATACATAAGTGAAAGTGTCCCCACTTGTATGGGCTATATGAGTAGGTTATGTGCCTAATATTATATACATACATATATATATATATATACAGTATATATATATATATATTGTACATATATTGTACATATATTGTACATATATTGTACATATGGGTTCAATATGCATATGTATTATACTGTATATTAATTGGTTGCACATGGGCTATAAACCAACCACCGTAGATCCCATGAACCGATGAATCGTCCCAAACAGATTGGCTAAGCCAATGTGGAGTACGGTGCTCATGGTTGTAGAGGTGAAACACCAAATAGAAATCCCTGTCCTTACTATTGCCAGTGATGTTTTGGTTTATGTTTATGTCCCAACTCTTGGTACTGAAGATAGTTGGCGAACTGAAACATATCGAAGTGAATGAGCCATGGCTTCCATAGCTACGTTAAATCACCAAAGGGTAGTACTCAGAATGACAAAGGTCCCCATGTTTCACCACAAGTGCAACTTACTGCTTTAGACTGATAAAAACACACATTCCGTTGTTGGTGATCCCGTCTAAAATATCCCTCAACTTTCACAGGTTTTTTTATCCTTTCAAAAAGGGGTTCCTCCATATGTTATAAGCAAAAACACCTTTAGGTGTGGCAACCAGAAGTTCATCACCAAAAATAACGTCAGGACTGATGATCCAACTCGACTTAGGATCAAAAGAAGATCCGACTGAGATCTTGTCTATTGATTATTAGTATAGTAATAATATCCTCTATTCTACCTTTTATCTCAGGGTTTATAGATCTGTTCTACTCCCACTCTATCTAAGTTATCCACACATGAAACCATCAGCCCAACGAATATAAACCCTGAGAACCACATTTTTGTTAGAGGACAATCGTCTGTTAGAAGGTGCCCCTTCGGCCAGCTATGGGGATGATTGACGGTGATTGACGTCACAGTGAGGTCATCATAATTCATCCAGATGATGATTACATCTTCTATGTTGATGTTTAGATATCCCCACATTCTTATCAAATACCCACCTAAAAAATCTCTACTATCCCCAAAACATCCCCAAAATATCCAAAAAAAAACAAAAAAAAAACAACAATCCCAAAAAAAAAAACAAAAAAAAACAACAGTCACCAAAAAAAGAAACATCTCCCTACGATTTCAACATGATCTCTGCGATTTCATCGGCCTCTGGGCCCGGCCCCTCACCAGTGCTGGCCGCAGCTCCCATGGCAGCTCCCTTTCCGCTTTTTTGTCTTGTTGGGGTCATAGAAATCATGGAAAATCATGGTGGAAACGATTATATTGTTTGGTGATAGTGGGAAAATCTGATATTATTTATGGAAATAATGATATAATGGTGGATGTTTTTTGCTATTATTATTGTTATTATTATTTACCCACTAATAGTTGATATTCTTATTATCCATTTTTGTTTGGTGATGAACCATTGTTTTGGGTCATTCTCCCAAATCATAGGTGGTGACTTCTTTTCCTCTGACACTTTTTTGTCTAATGTGTTGTTCAACCCGCCCAAGTTGCGGAAAGATGTTGAGGAATCGATGCTGCAGTGGTCAAGTTAATCCATTCTATCCTTTTGGGGCTTACTATGCTGTGGTTTGTGATGTTTCCACAGTCGCAAACATGAACAGAGAAGAACATCGTATGAAACGAAAAAGGCGTGTCACGGTTTTTCCGGAAAAGAGCTTCTTCAACATGTGTGGCCGGGCGAGGCGATTTGCATTCCAGAAATCGAAAATCAGGCGATTGTGCATAGTAAGTGCTATAAGTGCTACTCTCTTCAAGTCTATGCATTTCAATGCATGGCCAAGGCTGCCTGTGAAGCAAAATGGCCAATGGCGTGGATCCCAAGGTGCCGCAAATGGTGTTGCAGCTAAATGATCATGATTCGCTAATCTAGACTGTTAGGCAAATCACCATTTTTCATAGGTAAATCACCAATTCACTAGACTGTTTGGTAAATCACCATATTTTTCATAGGTAAATCACCATGTTTGATAGGTAAATCACCATTCTTTTGATACGGCAAATCACCTAAAATCATACAGGATGCGGCCCCCCAGTGAAATGTTTGTTGATTTATATCTAAATATCATGATGTGCGTATCATACACCAACTTCTTATATCATTATAGTTAGAACTGCACCAACTGAACGCGAAACAAACCTCACAACTGGGGCCCCTTCTGAACCAATAATGTCCTTTTGGTAAAAATAGAGGGGCCGGTCTGGTATACCATCTATCATCATAGAAACCTGTTGTTAAAGGGGTTTCTTCAACCTCCTCTATTAATCAACCAACCAATGGGAAAAGGACATCTATGTTCTGAGCTGTCCGACCACCAGATCGTGGGGCTTCAGGACGTTGCTGCACACAGGACAGGTCCACCTTCCGGCACTCGCGCTGCATATGTTGGATGTCTTCCCAGATCTATATGGAGGTACCCTCTGGTAATTTAACATAGCTATGGAAAATCACTGAAAATCACCATTTTTAATGGGTAAATCCACTATAAATGGCAATTTTCAATAGCTATGTTAGTTTACCAGAGGGTAAACCTAAAATGGGGGTACCACCAAATTGATGGTTTAGTTCATGGAAAATCCATTCGAAAATAATAATAAAACTATAAATGGATGAGAACTAGGGGTACCCCTATTTTAGGAAACCTCCATATCTATACTAATCATATTTCCCATATTTTTCTGATTTTGTGATACGTCATGAAAAATGGCATTGCTTTTTTGTTGCGTTGCATGTTCGCATTACATTACACTACTTAACAGTACATTTCCTTTACATTTCCTTTACATTTCCTAGTATCACAAAATCAGAAAAATATGGGAAATATGATTAGTATAGATATGGAGCTTTCCGAAGTCATAGGGATACCCCTAGTTCTCATCCATTTATATAAATTTTTGGGGATAAATTTTCCATGACACGTTTTCGGTCCCAGGGTGATTTGTTCGGCGCCTGTTGTTCAGGGCCCTCATCTTGAGGTTGGCTTCCAGGTAAGCGGCCAATCCAAAGCACTGGAGGTGCCTGGCTCGTCGCGTCGTCTTGTCGGTGCCGAACTGCCCAGCAGTTCGGCCCGGCCGGCCGTGTGTTTTTGGTTGACCTTCATGGAAAATCTATGGAAAATCTATGGTAAATCATGGAAAATCTATGGAAAATCATGGAAAATCTATGGAATGTAACAATAACCAGAGGGTAACACCCTTCATTTTGAACGCCGTGGGACTGTCGGACAATGATCCGAAATCAGAGTTCCCTCAGCCGCGGACTACCTCCATCCTGTTTTCCAACGCCGTCGCCTTGCTCACTTCTCACACAGCTCTGAGGCTCTATACGGCCGCTCTAAAACTGGGAGCACAATTTTTTAGCATCGCTGGCTGTTCGATGCAACTGGCTTTTACAAAGGCTCTCGACCAACGAAGAGGCCAGGGTCAAACCCTGCCTTTCACTCTACGAAATCTGCCCAGGTAACTATGCTGGGAGGTGAAATCAGTACTATGTTCTTTACATCTTGATCCATACCCCCCTACTACCTGGTGTTTTTTTTCCTTTTTCTGCTGCATGCTACCATTCTACCGGCGTCTCACCTCTCTTGAGTGCCTGAAGTGTGCAACGAAGACAGCAAGGTAAACGCACCAACTGATCACAGAAAATAGCTCATGCACATAAACATGGATTGTGTGAAATGCACACCAATGGGTGTGTCTAAAAATACGGAGCCCTTAAATCTGATCATCATTTTTCCCTGTCAGACAGCCATTTTTGGGGTATACCCATTTCCAGACACACCCAATAGATACACATGGTGTCTGTAGAATCATTTACCCTCTGGTTATGACTAACAGTTCGCCATGCTATAGATGGCCCTAATCGAAATAGATGGTTTACCGAACTTAAAAATGGTGGATCTTTCCATGGCCATGTAACAAATAACCAGAGGAAAATCACCATGTTTAATGGGAAAACTCACTATAAATGGCCATGTTCAATAGCTATGTTAGTCATAACCAGATGGTATGTAAATATGCCAAACCCATGGCCAAACCAACACAGTTTTTAGAGTTTTTACTGAGAACTTCGCCATTGAAAAATCGAAACCAAAATCATGCTGCATGCCACCACTGATGAAAAACATACCTTAAAAATGTGGAAATCATGCTTGTCAATGGATTGGTTTAAGGGAAAATCTACAGGAAACCAGAGATTTTCCCATTAAATATGGGGTTTTCCTGTAAAATTTCCCTTAAACCAATCCATTGAGCTTGAGGCTTTCGACTTTAGGCAGTATAAACCTCAAAAACATCATCACGATTATCATCACGATTTTTTCATGGTATTTAAGTTCCAATAGTGGTAATTAACCACCAAAACGGCAAATATATACCTTCCAGTAAATTAATATAGACCCTGAAAATAACAGCTTTTGTGGAAACTAATCTTCCAACCCCTATCTGCCAGGGTCTATGTTCATTTACTGGAGGGTGTGTATGTGAAATCACAAGGCAGCCTGTTGTCTCTCTGTTGCAGCTGTTGCTGTACGCGCCTTTTGTCTGTTGGCATACAAAGGCCTGGCTCAAGGCCTTGTTGATCCAAGATGTTGCCAGGAACATCCAGTGACATGTTGGAACTGTACATGAACGTGTGTTGGACAATGTTGCTACTTAACACGGCCCCTCAATTTGTTGGAGCTTCCAACACATTGCACAAAACAAACATTGTTGAAATGCAATCACATTATGTAGTTTATATGTTGGGTCTTCCAACCTGTACACTTTACACTACTAAGGTGTTGACAGAAGAATGTTGTCTAACGGTGCTAGTATACAAACTATCTGTCGAAACTCTCAGTTGTTGGTTTCCCTGTTGCACTCATCTCTGTTGATTTAGGGTGTTGAACCCAGGGATGTTGCAGTTTCACCCCAGACTGTTGTTTCTGGTGTCAGTCTCACCCATCGTTGGATGTTGTTCATCCTTCCATTTGCTGGTCCTCTTCCATTGTTCCACCATGATAGTTGTTGAACTCTTCCACAAAGCGCCCAAAGTTGGTGCTGCTGTTGATGTACTCGAGGACCGCAATGTTGCCTCTGAGCCTTTCAGGAGTTTTCGATCCCCAGTAGGGAATCTGCACTCCCTGTTGCAATGGATGTTGCCCTTCAAGGATCTGACCCAAATGGTGTTGGATCTCCATGGGCATTTTGCTGCAAGCTTGGAAGCCCGTGTATTCGAGGGCGTTTACCAAGGCTGCAAACCATCCATGTTGAGGTCCAGTGACCTGTTGACCGCTCGGGACAAGAGACCCATGTTGCTCATGGTGATCTTTGGGATCACCGGCACCGTTGGCGCACCTGCCACATGGATGTTGAGGAGTGTTGCCATCCTCAACGTCAAAGGTGTTCGCTTCGTCCACCGATGTTGGAGCAAAACGACTGCTGAGGTCAAACAAAAAAATGTTGACATCCAAAAGGCTGCACGTCAAACTGTTGAATTCTTCAAACCTTGCAAAACAAAATGTTGTCATACACGTCCACAATCATGTTGGATCCGTCATGTTGAAGAGGTATATGACATAGAGATCACGTTGAAATACTGTGTGAGTATCTTGTTCATATACTCCATGTTGAAGTATAGGGGATCACTATGGGGTAGTTCATGTTGTCAACCTTTGTTGACACCATGGCTCAAAAGTATGTATGTTTGTGTGTGCATGCCACGCACGATGTTCGCACGTTTTGCACGCGCTCGCACATTAACACGCATGCTGCAGTGAAACTGTTGTTGTTGCTTGTTGTTGTTTGCTCAGTGACGCTGGGCGCTGATGCCAACATCACTGATGTGACGCAAAAGCGTCTCTGTCGCGACGTACTTGGTGAAAATGTCGGCCGGGTTATTGGTCGTGTTGATCTTGACAATCCTCACAAGATCGTGTGCGACCAGTTGTTGTATGAAAAGGTGCTTGAGCTCGATATGTTTGGCTTTCTTTGATGCTCCAATCCTGGTTGCCATGCTCTTTCCGCTTGATGAGTCGGTGTGTATGCGGATGTTGATCTTCTTCATGTTGAGAGCTTCCTTCAGGAAATTGCTGATGTGGAGTGCTTCTGTTGCTCCTGTGTTGATCGCGTAGAGTTCTGCTTCCGCGCTGCTCAGCGCGATTGTTGCCTGCGTCCTGCTTCCGTAGTGGATTGTTGCGCCGAAGACTTTGACTAGAAATCCTGTTGTTGACTTCCTCGTTGTCGCGCATCCTGCCCAGTCGCTGTCGACAAAGACTTCGATGTCTGGTACTGCTTCAGCTGTTGGTGTCTTGGTTGTTGGTCTTATGTATTGTTTGTAGTGTTGTGTTCCCTTGATGTACCTGAGCAAGTGTTTCAATTTCTGCTGGTCTGCTGTTGTTGGCTGTGTCAGTGCTCTTGCAAGCTCCTTTGTTGCAAAGCCAATGTCTGGTCTTGTGTAGGTCATCCATTGTAGCTTGCCAACCATTCTTCGGTAGGCTGCATGTTCTTCTTTGTTGAGTTCTTGCTCCATCTCTGATGTTGCTTTCAGAGTGTTGGTGCCTGGTGCTGGTGCTGGATTGCAGTTGAGCATGTTGGCTTCTTCTAACAGCTCTGTTGTGTAGCTGTCCGCGAGACTGATCTCATAGTAGTCACCTTTGTTGCAGATGTTTCTGCCCAGAAAGCTGATGGTGTTGCCGACTGTGAGTTCTCCTGTAGGACGTAGTAGAAGGTGTTGCTGAATGCTCTTGAACAGCTTGTTGACCGTCTCCTGTTGTCCAATGAAGAGCAAGTCGTCGACGTAGCATAGTATGTAGGCATCTCCTCCAGGTGTTGCGTAAACGTTGGGCTCGCTGACAAGTCGTCGTAGTCCAAGTTGTTGCATCACCTCTGCTAGGTGATTTTGCCATGCTTTTGGGCTGCTGCGTAAGCCATAGATGGCTTTGTTGAGTCTCCAAACGATCTGGTCGAAGGCGTTGTAGAATTCTGCTGGTGGATACATGAAAAGATCTGCTGTTGCTGCTGCGGCATGTAGAAAGGCTGTTGAGATGTCTCCTGTGAGACAAATCCAGTTGTTGCAAAGTGCTAAGACAAGTAGCATCCTTAGCACGCAGAAGATGGGTGTTGATGCAAAGATGTCGTCGTTGTCGTTGATCTCCTCAGTGTAGCCCTTTGCTACAATTCGTGCTCGAACTGTGTTGCCTTTCTGTCGAAGAACCCATCTTGATTTGATGATCTTCTTGCGTTGTTCTGGTGTAAGTTGGCTTATGTGTACCTCTGTGTACACTCCTTGTTCCTTCATTGACTTGATTTCTTGCTTCATTCCTTCCGTTGTTTGTTCTTTTTCTAAACCTTCGGTGTTGCTCACCCAAGGTTCCAGGAGAATCTTTTCAGCTTGTATCTCCTGTTCATCTTCGTTGGAGGTTGCTTCTATCTTCTGTCCTTTCCTCGTTGTGACTGTGACTTGTGATATCCTCATCCTTGTTGTTGGTGGCTCCTGAGCTGTGTCAGGTCGGCTGGCTGCTGTGGCTCTTTCTGTTGTCCTTGCTTGCTTTGGTGAGCTGCCTTGTGTAATCTCATCTGTTACTTCTCTTTTGCTTTGTGTTGGCATTGGAAGTGCTTGCTTTGCTTGCTGTGTTGCTGGCGCTGTTGCCATTGGAAGGTCCGTAAGTGCTGGTGGTGGTGTAGCGTGTGGTTGTACCATGGCTTTTGGTTGTGGACTCTGCTGAGTCTGTGTGCTTGTTGTTGTCTGCTGCTTTGCTGCAGCAGGTTGTGGTAGTACCACAATGCTTGGTGTTGTTGGTGGTATCATGGCTGGCGAAGAGTTGATGATGTCCATCAACTGCTTGTTGTACTTGTCTGGCTTGATTTGTCTTCGAATGGTCCTTGCTTTGACCACTTTGTTGCTGATGCCAAGTATGTTCTCGTTTGTTGAGTTGTCCTTACCTAGCCAGATGGCTGGGTAGAACCTTGCTTCCATCTTTGGCATCTGCTTTGCTGTTGGTAGCATGCAGAGAACTGTTTCACCAAATTCACATATTGGTGTTTTGTGTTCTTTGCCCCATCGTCTATAGTAGCTTGTGTTTCCATCTGAGTGAATGGAATACCTGTTGAGCAGGTATGCTGCGTGTTTGACAAGCCACGGCATGATGGGATGCTTGCTGTTGAGCTTGATGCCATAGTTGGTCTCCAGTTGGAGTTTGAGGGCTCTAACTTGGCCAATCAGTGTTCTGTGGAAACGTTCAACGCTTCCTTGTGCTTGTGATGTGTAGGCTGGTGCTTGCCTGACTGCTATGTTGCTACCCATGGCTGTTGCCACCATCTTGAGCAAGGAGATGATAAAGTCTTCCTGGTCTGATTGAAGAACGGTGTTGTTGAGAATTGCATGTGTTCTGCCACATTCCATCAGGAATTGTTGAAGGCAAACTGACAGGTATTGTACGTGCTGCGTCTTGTCCTCAAGTTGGACTGCCATACACATGCCTGTTTCAACGTCCACTGCTGTAAGGACTGATGTTGTTTGCTTTTCTCCTAGTGCTTTGTAGTACATCAGATCCACTTGGATCACTGGTGTTTTGCTTGTTTGCTTTGGATGGTTGTCCTGTCTTCCTTTGCTTTGTACACATGTTGGACACCAGCTTCTGTAGGGAAGGTGTGTGAGCTCGTGTTCTCTTCTTTCTTGTTCTGTTGGTTGCTGAGGTGTTGGCACTCCTTTTGCTCTCTTAGCTTCTTGTTGCTCCTCTGGCTCATCTGTGATGAACTCATCTTTGTATGCTGCGTTTTCTTCAAAATTTGTTGAGCCTGTCCACTCTATGTCGAGTGTTGCTCTCCTCTTTGTCGTCCAGTCATCATCTATTCTATATCCTCTGTTGCCACTTGTTGGCCTCACCATTGTTTGTCTCCATGTTGTCAGTCTTGTCACATCTGGTCCATCATCTGTTTGTTGTGGAATGTACATGTCCCTTCTTGGTTGAACATGCACACGTTTCCAATATGGACCTTCTTTGATCCAATAGTCCTGTGTTGGACTGACTTCCTTTGGATGTGGAATTGCTGTTTGATATGGCTGCGTTGCGGTCATTGCTTGGTCTGTTGGCCTTACCTCTGTGAGAGGCTTCTTCACGTTGTGTCGATACATTGGTGCTTGTGGTTGGTCGGCTGTGGTTTGTTGAGATGGTGTCGCTGGCTCTTTGGCTGGTGGAAGTACTGGTTGTGGTGGTATGTTGCCTGCAAGTACTGTTCCACGTTTCACTTTGAACCATGTTTCTCCTGTCCAGTTGTTTCCTTGTATGATCCTCTTCTGTTGCTTCTTGTCGAGGTCTTGGTATGCTTCTTCGATGACCTCTGTGTTGTTGTTCGGTCTTTGTATGATTGTTCTTCTGTAGTTCTCCAACCTTTCTGTTGGAACTGGACATCTACTGTCTGGCATGAACAATGCCTTGCGTGTTGTCCTGTGGACTCTTACCAAGAAACCTTGGCTGTTGAATGTCCATAGGTCATTCTTGTTGCGAAGGATTTCCATGCCTGTTGGTGTCAGCGTGACTGGTGCTATTTTTGCTGTTGTTCCTTCTGCTGTCTGGCTGACTTCAAGCCTCAAGTTGGCTGGAAGTGTGATCAGCACAACTGGCAAGAAGTATAGGCCTTCTCGTTGTTTGAGTGCTGAGTTGAATCCCTTGGTGTGTGTGATTGTTGGTGTTTCGTTGAGTTGTGTGTTGAACCCTTGTTCTGCCAGTCTTGTTACTGACATGATGGGTTGCGTCACATCACACACATAGAAGGGAACAACTATTGTTTGCTTGTTGGTGTTGTGCATGTACACCCATTTGTAGCCATGCACTTGGATATCCTCATCTGTTGCTGTCCTCAACCTAGGTCCTTGTCCATGTTGTAGTGGATACAGTGGTGTGTCTGGTGCAAACCATGTTGGGCAAACGTGTGTTGCTGCTCCACTGTCGATCATAATGTCCACCTCGTTGTCTCCTCTCTGCTGCTGCACTGCTTGAGCTGTGGTGGTTGCTTCATTGTGGGCACTTGCTGCCTGATGGCCCAGTGCTCCCACAAGTTGTATTGTTGGTGTCTGCGTGTTGGTTTGTGGCGCTGGCAAAGCTAGTTGTTGTTGTTGTTGGACTGGCTGGATATTGTAGTTGCCTGACTGGTCGTTGCTGTACCAGTAGTTGTCGTACCCACTGTTTGGGTCATACCATTGGGATGTTCCATCCTGGTTCTGTTCCTGCGGTGTCTCTGTCATGTTGTACACCGCTGTTCGGCAATCCTTTGCCAAGTGGCCCTGTTGACCACATCTGTAGCATATTGCTGTTGGATTCTTTCCTTTTCCTTTGTTGGGAATTCCTTTCGACTTTCCTTTGTTGCCTTTCTCTACTCCTTTTGGCTGATACCATTGCTGTTGTTTTCCTTTGCCTTTTCCTTTGTTATAACTGCCGTAGCCGCCGTAGCCCTTTCCTTGTTGGTATCCTCTTCCTTTGTGACCTCCTTTGTTGAATCCTTTTCCTTTGTTCTTTCCTTTTCCTTTTCCTTTGCCTTTGTATGTTGCTCCAATGTCCATTGGAGCTGGGCCTCCTCCTAGATTGCTGCTGACTGCTGAAGACGACTGTTGTTGAAGTCTTGAGAACGCCGTGGTGGTCCTGTAGTACTCCATGATTGTTGTCCTCACCTCAGCATATGTTGGTGTTGCACTGGCATTGAGGTGTAAGTGTTGTTGGAGTGGTCCTGTTGTCTCATTCATGAGAACTGCTATCTTCACTTGGTCTGGTAGTTGTGCACTGTTGTCACGCTCGTAACGTGCAAGCTCAAATTCCCATGTTGAGAAGGACTCCTCAAAGTTGTTGGTGTCGAACTTGGGTTTGAGTAGTTTTGTGAGGTAGCCTATGCTTCTTGTTCCAACAGGTATTGCAAACCTGTTGCAAAGTTGCCTGTAGACTTCCAAGCCCATTGCGTCTTGGTATTGTCTGCATATTGTTGCTGCTGGGCCGCTGGTGATGTTGATGAGGATGTACTTGAGGTTGTTACACAGTTGTGTCCACTTCTCTCCTTCCTCTATTGTTGTTGCTGCACCAAGCAGCTCCGCATCCGTAAGCACTGTTGCTGCTCGTTCTGCTCTTGACAGCAGTTGTGGAAAGATGTTGTCTTGTAGGCCCATGTACGCTGAGAACTTGTACTTCCATTCCTCAAATGTTGCATAGTTTCCATCGTATGTTGGAGGTTTCAACTTCAGCCTGTGTGTTGATGCTAGGGCTTCTGCTTGTGCTTCTCCTGCTGTTGGCGATCCTATCTCATATGCCGTTGCCATCCTTGTTGTTGAGAGTCCCCCACACTGTGTAGTTGGGATCAAGCCCTCTTCCTGTGCGCTTTGTTGTTGTGTTTGTTTCCTTTCCTTGTCGTTGCAGTGGTGGTGTGTTGGGCCGCTACCCTTTGTTGCTCCAGCTGTTGTTGAGAGTCCCCCAGTGTTCTGGGATCAAGCCCTCTGCCTGTTGGAGCTCACCTGGATGCTTCCAGGATCACTGCTCCGCTACCATGTGAAATCACAAGGCAGCCTGTTGTCTCTCTGTTGCAGCTGTTGCTGTACGCGCCTTTTGTCTGTTGGCATACAAAGGCCTGGCTCAAGGCCTTGTTGATCCAAGATGTTGCCAGGAACATCCAGTGACATGTTGGAACTGTACATGAACGTGTGTTGGACAATGTTGCTACTTAACAGTGTATATATATATATGAGGGTTTCCATAAATGCTGGTACCCCAAAATGGTGGTACCCCAATAGCTGGATGGTTTATTTCCATGGGAAAATGTGAATCTCTCAATGGATGAGAACTGGGGGTACCCCCATGACTTAGGAAATCTCCATATCTATACTAATCATATCTATCATATGTTTTCTGATTTTTTGATACGTCATGAAAAATATGGCATTGCTGTTTTGTTGCATTGCATGTTCGCTCCATCTATGAGATTTACCAGCATGATGTACCATTTCATGGAAAATCCATCAATGCATGAGAGCTGTGGCTTCCCTTGCCATGACGTTGACGTACATCTTCATGCATAGGACTTCCCTAAAATGACGTGTCGGACATCTCCATTTTTTTGAGATTTACCTAGATTTACCAGCATTTTCGTGGCATTTTACAGGCCAAAACCAGAGTTCTACCAGGGCCAACTCCGTTTTTTTCGCTCAAAACAAACGACAGGCAGCGAGAATAACAAACCACGGCCGTGACGAAGACAATGACCAGCACCAAGGCGCCCTAAGGGAGAGACGCGATGCTATTGGGCCATCCTTTTGGTGGAAAAAAAAATCATGGAAATTTCCGGGAAAAACAAAAAAACATATTTGTTTTATGGAAACTATACCATTTTTGAATGGAAACTTCTAGAAATTATGGAAACTATACAAAGTTTGAATGGAAACTTAAAAAGCATCTTGTAACCAGAAAACCATCAATATCTGATGAATCTGATGAATCTTTGGTATAGTCCATGAAAAAAATGTCATCTCTTGCTGGTTATGGTTATGATAACTATGTTCCGTTCGCAAAAAAAAGAATAGAGATGAAACTATCTATCCAAGGTTGGGTGGAATAATCAGGTTCGAAACCGGAGTCCAAAAGATGTTCCAAAGTAACCAACTAACTTGATATGAATGGGATATTAATGAGATGTTTATGGGATATTCATGGGATATGATCTCCGGATTCAATCCATTTTTTTTCTAACCCAGCAACACTCAGCAAGGGGCTTAGTAAGCTTCCATTTGGTTACCATTGGGACCCCTATGTAGCCCATAGATTTCCACTTATGTTCACGGGACCAGGAGGCCTCCTGTGGCCCTGGGTGAATTTCTGCTGTTCATCGCTGATTGGTGGTTGACCTACTCCTCTGAAAAATATGAAAGTATATGAGTTCGTCACTTGGGATGATGAAATTCCCAAGATATGGAAAGTCATAAAATTCCATGGTTCCAGTCACCACCAATCATGGCCTTGCCAAAAACCCGAAAAAAACCCACGGGTCATTGGGGATGATATCCTCCGAAAAAAGGATCATCCACCACAGACAAGCAACAATGACTGCCCAGTCGGTGGGGTACAACACCTCACCCTCAGCCGCTGTCTCTTTGGTATCTTTGGTTGCCTCACCCTCATTCTTGACATTCACCGTCACTTCCAAACCTTGACATTCAGCAGTTTCAGGATGGATCTTCATCATTTTTTCCCTGTGAATTGCCGTAAAACGGTGGGAATATGCCCCATATGAATATACCCATGGTCAAGAAACAATGTGTCAGTGTCAATAAAGAGAATTTGTTGTCACCTTCAAAAACGATCGAACTGTGATTTACCACCATGTTACTAGGATTTTACATGATTTTACCAACTTCTATCTTTTTGGGACATTACGAAAAAAAAGAGAAAAAATCACCCCTGTTTCCGTGTTTCTTGGATGAGGGGCAGAATCAGCTGCAAGGGGTGAAACACATGATGACCCTGTAGCCGTAGCTCAAGCCACCCAGCCATGTCCATCCCAGGCATAGTAGGTGGTGATCATAATCATAGCATACCCTCTGGTAAACATACAAAAAGCTATTGAAAATGGCCATTTATAGTGGATTTTCCCATTAAAAATGGTGATTTTCCATAGCTATGTTAGTTTACCAGAGGATAACCCAGTTCTATATATTCAATAGAGTGGTTTAACGGAAAATCTTAACCGGAAACCATCGACTTTCCCATTGAATATGGGGCCTTCCTGTAAATTGTCCATGGAACCAATCCATTGAATAGAGGCTGTACCCCAACTAGATTAGTGGCAAGGGTGCTACCCACTCGCGTCATGGCTTTCGGGCTGTCTTTGTTGGAAAAATTCGGGGCATGTTCAGGATGCGCAGCTTTTTCATGGTGAATGCCACATCGGAATGGATCAACAGTTTAAGGCCCAAATAACCGCAGATTCTGTTCATTGTTTGTACATGTTTGTACCATCCAATGGTGATGTCGAATTTTGATCCATACCTCAAATGATTATCAACCATCATATCAGATGATAATCAGCAACAATGGAATGGGCAAATTATGATTGTTCACCAGCTTGAAATGTTGGGCCATGCGGATGATCGTTTCTAGCCATCACTGCTAGAGATGTCATGGTGACATCGGGCCATGATGTTTCGTAGTTGTACGGATAGGATGATGGTTTCCAGAACTGTTGACACTGTTGACCCTTATACTCTTCCAGTTTCAAACTCAACACAGGACAATTGTGTCCCCTCCCGTGTCTCGTTGGCTTCCTTCTCCTGAGCAAAACCCCTCTCCTTTCACCTGGATTGTTTTAGTCGCTGGCAATCTGACCCAGTGGAAGATCCGTCCCTTGCAAATGGCTCTCCCAGAAATCATTGTAGTTTGCATGTGTATGCCCATATTTGCTGACCAGGGGAAAAAGTAACACCCAAAAAGATGGAAAATCACAAACCCTTGGGCTGTTTGACTGGGAGGTATCATTCTAAGTGCAGATGATCACTGAGGGGTTTATAAATAACAAACACCAACCGCCGAGGAACGGTCCAAAATGTCTTGCAGCACTGTGTTCGTCGTCGTGGTGGTCGGCACCGGCACCATCTGGCTTCGGTCCTGATCACCGAAATAAAGCATGGTCAGCTTGAAGTGTACTTGTGGAAACCCAACGAAAGAGATTTGTACATTGTATGTGCATATATATATATGTATATGTATATATACACTTATATATCATATATGTGTCGCTAGAACACAGTTTTTAATCCCTCTGAGATCAGGTAGGAAATTCCGGGAAATGTCCTATCCACAAAGCTGCTACTGTTGAGTTCCCCCATTCCAAGAGTCAATTGTGATCATCAAAAGATTTGTTGGGATTAAAACAGACAAAAGCTGAAAAAAAACTGTACAAGATGGGGCGCCCCAGTTTTGTTGGTTTACACCCCATCTAAATACTACCTCACCAATCCAAGAAGTTGAAATGGATGCATTAAGTCTTGGAAAACTCAAACACCTTGCTGATCTGCCCAATGTCAATTTCGTCGTTTTTTTGTCCTGACTTGTTCCATGTTTGAAATATAGTACCCCAATGAATTCCAGTGGACTATTGTCATTAGTCCATCAAAATGACCATATATTGGAAACACTCCATGTTTCAGATACTACACCCAAATACCATATTGTCGGTTATACCCTCTGGTAATTTAACATAGCTATTGAAAATGGCCATTTATATTGAGTTTTCCCATTAAAAATGGTGATTTTCCATAGTTTTTTGTAAACGTTTACCAGAGGGTATACTCCCCCTAACATCAATGTGGAAAACCCACCATTTGCAGATATCATTTTCCGAACGGCGTTTCCCTCGGGAAGTTCCATGTCTATGTAAACGTTTACCCCACGGTATTCCATTATATCATCCCTATTATATATACCCTCTGGTAAACGTTTACATAACTATGGACAATCACCATGTTTAATGGGTAAATCAACGAACTAAATGACCATTTTCAATAGCTATGTAACAAATTACCAGAGGGTATACCCATTGGTGTTGGTTAAAATGTAAATACGAATCACATTTTAATAGTAGGATCACATCCCCACGACTATATCCCATTCATCATGTATAAACATTATATCTCCATTATAAATCCCCATGATATCCCCATTCACCTATTATTTACTGGTGGGGTATCATTAAGTGTTGGTTATATCAATCATATCTCCATCAAATCCCATTTAATCCCCACTACATCCCATTGTTGTTGGTGGTTTCAACCCTCTGAAAAATATGAGTTCGTCAGTTGGGATCATTATTCATTATTCCCAATATATGGAAAAATAATCCAAATGTTCCAAACCACCAACCAGCCATTAAATCCGCATTCTCAACCATTTCTGTTGGTTTTCAGTCACCATGTTTCGACTGAAACCTCCATGGCTAGTTCAAGAATTTGCCCTATGTTAACCGCAGGGTGGAAAAAAATCCCAGATCTCTTGCCCATGAAATTCCCCATTCTTTGCAAGTTGGTTTATAGCTCAAATAATTATGGTTTATGATATGCAAATAACTACAGTTCGTTGATGTCAATGGGTTTTATAAAGTCAGAAGAAAAAGTCTAAACGCATACCCTACACCCTAAACCCTCAGGCATTCATGAGCATTTGTGTGAATGTATAAACTTTTTAGAGGTTGATGGCCATGCAACAGGAACCGATTCATTGGAGGTACCGATTCCATATATTTTTGGCCTATTTTTCAGGCCTAAATTTCAGGGAATATCCCCACAATTCATATGGCCAGAAATATGGTACTAACGTACCTCCATCAATTGGATCCTGGAGATCTCCCATTGATGAAACCATATGACATGGCCATTTATAGTGGATTTTCCCATTAAAAATGGATCTGTCCATAGCTATGTGGCTGTTGACCAAAGGACCTATGGTACAAAAGTCAGCAACCTCTCTGTGCATCCGAGAGTCGGAAGCATCCAAGATCTGAACCAACCTGGTGTCGTTCATCTCCTCATGGCTGACAGTTTTGGGGAAAGCCAAATGGTCGGGATATATGTGTATGATAAATCCTGGAATATATTATATATATATATATGTATATATATATTATCTCATAGATATGAAGTATATGTGGTTTTATCTAATCATATTAGTTCAACTAAGGCTAATTTGTCGAAAAAAACACAAAAAAAACATTGAATATATGGTAAATTAATCTATAAATGGATACAAGATTATATAAGTTGGGGATTTCCCGAATAAATCTGCCATAAACCTATCCATCAGGCGGCCCTTCTTGTGGGTTCATCGTCCCACTCGGGATGGAAATAGATGGACGGATAGTCAAAACCATGGGACACAAACGGTACCCGTTTAGTCATAGCTGGTTCATTCAATGGATTGGTTTGTTGGGGGAAATCTTCACCGGAAACCATGGTGTTTACCATCAAATACAGGGGTGTCCTTTTTCAATTGTCGCGTCATGCGCTGTTTTCTGTGATTGGATGTCGAATCCCCCCGAAAAATCGTGGTTTCATAGGTTTTGACCCATCACATTGGATACCCTCTGGTGAACTAACATAGCAATGGAAAATGGCTATTTATAGTGGATTTTCCCATTAAAAATGGTGATTTTCCATTGCTATGTTAGTTCACCAGAGGGTAACCATGATGACCCCACCAAGCGGCCACCATGATGGAACTTCGAAGATTCTTCTGGATCCTAGGCCAGCTGCCGCCCCAACCCAAGGAAAATACTGAGTGGTTTTGGCCCGGCATTGTCAAGTCTTAAGGAAAATCAGATGTGCTGAAAAGCATCAAAATTAGGAGAAATATGTTTAGTACCGATTTCAACATAATGATCGGATAGTTGGTTTACTCATTTTGTAACCAATCCAACTATGATATATCTTCCATAAATACATCCAAGTTTGCATAGTTCTGCTTACCAACTTGCCTCTCTATGGGACCCCTTCTTGCAGGTGATTTAGAATCATGCAAAATGAGGATATACCTTCAATTTACCGCATTTCAATGGGTAAAACGAGCTTTAAAAACCACTGGGTTTTGATGTCTTCCCAACATCTTCAGGTACCACACCCACTGCTGGTGGTCCATGGTTTTTTAGGCCATAGCCCTTTGTTCCCTGAGCTTAGCTGAGTCAGCAGCACCCAGGGCAATGATCCATCACTCCCCTTCAAAATGCTTCATACCCTTCCTATTTACCCTTACCACATGTTTGATGGCTAAATCCCAGTGTTGGCATCCCCTGATTTTGTTTGTTAAATCCCCTGTTTTCGTGCCTTGAATCCCCAAACTACACAAATTGTTCAGTGATTAATTCCTTTCCTCTGTAACCTGACGATGTTCAATGTTGATTAATATCGTGCCATCTTTTGTTGGTTAAGTCACCATTTCATCCATTCCCCATTATAGACACTATATGTCCGTTACATATCCCATTCTATCCTCAGTATATTATATATCTTTATATATATATATACGTATACCACCATTTCTGTTATTCCCACTTAATCAATTTCCATTGTATCCTCAGTAGTATGTATATATTATGTATATATATACCATTGTATCCCCATTGTATATCCCCATTTGTCAAGTACAATCTACAATTGGTTCTATGTATGGTAGGATAATATTCCCATTAATTTGTATATCCGACATCCCATTTATGATGTATAAGCGTACTACAGTAGTAAAATATTCCATTTAGTATGTATTTAGCATGGTATCCACATGGTATATCCCCATTATATCCCCATTCACCCATGATTTACTGGTGGGCTATCATTGTATCACTGTTATATCTCCATTGTCTCCATTACGTCGCATGAAATGCCCATTATGTATATATATATATCATTATATCCCAAGTTTCCACCATTTCTAATATACTAACAGTAGGATACAATATTTGATCGATCATATTTTTCTAGTAAGTTTTTTCCCCAGATCATAGGATTGATAAACCAACAAACAGATTGATTTTCTCTATTAGTATCAAATATTAATGCAGATATTCTACTAAAAATGATGGGATTACCCATCATTAATAGTTGATGTTTGTTAGTTGATCAATATCATCCATGGTCTAATGGGGAAATAACATATCAATTGGCCATAATGTTATATCATAGATAATGGTCTAATGATACAAGTACTGGTCTAATAATAAAATCTAATGATATCAATGAATATTGCCCATTAGATATACAATATATGTAATATGAAATAATCTATCAGTTGGGATAATGACATTCCCAACTGAATGAAAAAATAATCCATTCTTGTTCCAAACCACCAGATTTTAAATCCCCAATCTATCCCCTTCCAACATTATATCCCATTAAAAACACCATTATATCCCATTATATCCCATTTAATCCCCAATCTATCCATGATCTCGTTGGTGATTTAGATCCCCCTTTTCCAATACCATTTTCAGGAATCAATATGGCAGTGTGTCAAAACCAATAGTACCCCTGTAGTTCACATCAAAATAGCTGGGATTTATGGATGTTCATCTCCCTAAAAATGGTATTAATAGGTATTGATCCATAGCCATATTGGAAAATCCCCAAATGATTATTGATATTCAATATTCCCATTGAAAAAATTCTAATTCAATATAATAATATAATCCTAATTCCAAAATGGATTTTTCCAATATCCCCATTTTCAGGAAAATCCCCAATCTGTGAATCTTTAGATCCCCATGATCTCCTTCCATCTCGCCTCGCGAGTCACCACGTTGTCCTCACCAAGTCGCTGCTTCACCGCCTCCGCCTGCTGCGTCATGGCCGCATCCCTTCGTTCCAAGGCGTCCACAATGCGCGCTTCGCAGCCGGACAAGTCCTACGCAGCGCAGCAGCCACGAAGCACCAAAAATGGACGAAAAATGCTCAAAATGGTGGTTTCACCAGGAAAAAATAGAGAAAATATAATGGTTTTGAGGAAGAAACATTGGGAAACATGATGCTTTATAATGCTTTGAGGAAGAAAAACGATAAAAAATGATGGTTTAACCCAAATGGAAACTGATAATTGATGTATGCCAAATGAGAAACGGAGATTCACAATTGGAAGAAAATTCGAACATGTGGTATTTTATCACCCAAAGATCCTGCTTCACCCAACTTGGGGGTGTGTGAACTGGGTAGGTTATAAACCACTAATCTAATTGGGCTATACCCTGTATGTATATATATATACATAAAACGGGATCATATTGTGGTTATTAGTCATTAGTGGTGTGTGTATTACATATATATATATAATAAGCCAGATATATTTATGATCATATTATCATTATGATATATGTAAATAAATATAGGTATTATATCTTGTATAATATGATCATATTATGGTAATAACAAAAAATATATATCCATATCTATGTCATATATACATATACACATATATGCATATAAATATATATATATACATACATATATACACATACATATATACACATATACACATATACACATATACATATATACATATATACATATATACATATATACATATATACATATATATATATATATACACATATACACATATACACATCCATATCCATATACATGTATATACACATATATGTATTTACACACATATTATTTATTAACCACGTACCATGGGATGAGCACATCAGCTCCTGCGCCAGCTTCGCGGCCTCCGCCGCCATGTCCGCGGCGGAGGCGGTCTGGCTCTGCACGCCGCTGGCGTTGAAGCTCTTCAACTGGGCTGTTTTTTTGGTCGTCTCCAGGGTGGAGAAACAACGGAAGTGACCAAAAAAAAAATGGAATATTGATATATAAAAATATGGGAATGTTTGGGATTTGTTTCTTCAGATTTTTTTTCTTCAATTTTAAATCTTGAAAGATTTGTCAATGATTGCAGGATGGGTTCTAGTTTTCTCAAGTTAATCATCAAACACCATCGTCACTGTCTGAAAAAGTTCTGATTTTTTTGGGCTCCTCCAGGATGAGATCATCCTTCGTCATGGCTTCCAGAGCTATCCTTAGGACATGGCGAAACAGGACGAACTGTTTCGAACTTCTTATGGAAAAACCTCCAAAAATTCCCAAGGAATTCTTTCATCTGATCATCGAAAAAAACAAGATCTGTGGAAATCCGAATCCAGACAAAAAATCGATTCACCAGCGGAAAAGCATCGGAAAACCATCATCGATATGAACAATGGCTGTTTCCCAAATCCAAAGTGGCCAGGTGCAGTGAGTATAATGATCATGGACGGTGCAGGACGGTGTCGCAGTGAGTCTTTTTCACAACAAGAACTTGGTGCCTGACAGAAGCAGAATTTATGGTAGATATATATATATCATATATATATATCATATAGATATATATATATATATGTTTGAGGGGGTGAAATTAAACCAGCTAAAAAACCTGTGCACCACCTTCTGATCCCTACTATGGAAAGTATGATGCATCATAAGCTGCAGGTAAATACTCCTACTTTCTGAAATGATAATCTCTCCATTCCTTGTGAAACCATTCCTAAGATCATAATTTGTTCATTGCCCCTTTTTCTCAGATTGCCTGCTTGGAGAATCCTCCACGCACACGAACTGGTCAATATGTTAATAGTACGAATAGACTTCGTGAACAAGTCCCCATGTTGTGGCTTTTCCCATTTACCCTCTGGTAAACTAACATAGCTATGGAAAATCATCATTTTTAATGGGAAAACTCACTATAAATGGCCATTTTCAATAGCTATGTTAGTTTACCAGAGGGTATAAGTGGGTGACCCCCCAAACACGAACACACCACTTCCAATCCATGGGTCAAGCACCACAACATGGTTGGTCAATGTTGGTCAGCCATATCCCCATGATATCCCAATCAACACTTTTTGCTCAGCCACCAAGTCTGAAACGTTGAGGTCCTGGCGTTTTGTTCAGCAGTTTGTGTATCCTCTTGAGAATCGCTTGGCGCTCTGCCTCGCAGCGCAGCTATGGCAGAGATCTAGCATGGACTCCTCAAATTCATTGTCACTGTGCATAAAGAAAGCCAACCAACGTGAGCAGCAAAAGTCTCTGTCATCCCCAAACTGTTGGCTGATAGGGCTTCCCGGATTGGATGAACGGATCAAGAGTGATACTGTTGCTTGATACCAATCAGTATCACATGGATCCATATCAGTGTTTCCTCCAAACATATTGGGGTGATACTAGTTGCTTATTATCCCCAATAAAGAAATCATCCAGTGCTAGTTTATACATGTTGATACCAAATAGTATTACAGTGCCCCAGATGAAGTTAATTCATTAAACTGATCGCTACTCTATAACTAGATAAGTTAGGCAATGCTACTTTCACACTTTGCGATCCGTAGCACCTCTCACCATTTTGGACATCAATCATCCAACTGCCCTCTGGTACAATTTTAACAACGGAAACCCGCGCAACTATTGAATAGCTATAAATCAACTATTTCTATGGCCATTCCTTCCCATAGCTATCTAACAAATTGCCAGAGGCAAAAAAAATATGGGAATTTGGATAATTTTTTGGATTTCAAGCATTGAAAAAATCATGGAACATGGGTAATTTCACTTGAAGAATTGGACAAATGATATATATCATAAATGGGTAATATACATATATATATATATTGTAATGAATACATTGCTATTATATATGATATATATATATACATTGACAATTGGAACATGGGTAATTTCAATTGATGGGAGTATCGTGAAAAGGTGCCGCACCTCAGCTTCGACCACCTGTGCAAGGCGACGGCGACGTGAACAAATCCATGGTTGACATCCTCTGGTTGGAACATCATCGGGTTATAATAGGGATAATATAATGGGATATCATTGATATCAATCAAGTTTTCAAAATCATTGATGTTCATAACTAGAACATGATTTTCTAAATGTTCACAGACCTCATGGATGTTCTCATCTTTTGTGAGTGAATGCGCTTCTGGATCTCCCAGGGGATTTTTCAAAACTGGAGAGTTCCATGGGACAATTGAACTGACTGCTTTTTTGGTATTACCCTCTGGTAAACTAACATAGCTATGGAAAATGGCCCATAGAAATAGATGGTTTACCTTTTAAAAATGGTGATGTTCTATAGCTATGTTAAATTACCAAAGGGTAATACCTTTTTATATATCCATTATGCATAAATATTACGAACCAAATATTTGCCTATTCTATACCCAACTGTTAGAATAGGTGAAAGTGTAAGGTGGGTAAAACAATAATAAACCACCCATTTAGGAATGGCAACCATACCACCTGTTTATGGTGATTTGGGGGATGGTTTATGATTGTTTTATCCACATTACCCTCTGGTAAACTAACATAGCTATGGAAAATCACCATTTTTAATGGGAAAATCCACTATTTCTATGGCCATTTTCAATAGCTATGTGACAAATTACCAGAGGGTATTCCGATTTATCTTTGCAATGCGTGTCCTCGCCTGGTGCTGCGCCAGCGTGGAGCGAAGCACCGCCTGTTCGAAGGTGGAGGACAAATCCTGTGCGCCGATCAATAGCGAACCGCAGCAATGGTGATATGGCGATATGGTTATGGTTATAATAGGGACACCCTCTGGTAAACTAACAGCTTGCGAACTTGAAAATGTCCCATAGAATTAGAAGTAGTTGATTTACCCAGCAAAATCCTGCACCAGTTTTCGTCGATGGGCAGAATCGCATCACATAATCCCATTATTTACAGTGCGATTGTAACCATTATAACACCAGTTGGAAACCATTATAATCCATTATTTCCAACTGGTGTTATTTAACAATGTGATTAGTTGGAAATCTTTCACATAGTTAGCTACTAGTTTCCAACTGGTGCAAGATTTCGCAACCATCCACAGGATGATATTGTCATAATGGGGATAATGGTATAATGGGGCCAACGTCGGATTCGGAAACTTCAGCGTCGGATTCGGAAACTCCCAGGCCCTCGGATTCGGAAACTCCCTCCCCCCCGGATTCGGAAACTTTAGCGTCGGATTCGGAAACTTCCAGGCCCTCGGATTCGGAAACTTCCAAGCCCACGGATTCGGAAACTCCCTGGCCCTCGGATTCGGAAACTTCCTGCCCCCCGGATTCGGAAACTTCGAAGCCCACGGATTCGGAAACTCCCAGGCCCTCGGATTCGGAAACTTGCTGCCCCCCGGATTCGGAAACTTCGAAGCCCACGGATTCGGAAACTTCCAGGCCCTCGGATTCGGAAACTTCCAGGCCCTCGGATTCGGAAACTTCCAGGCCCACGGATTCGGAAACTCCGTGGCCCTCGGATTCGGAAACTCCCTGCCCCCCGGATTCGGAAACTTCGAAGCCCGCGGATTCGGAAACTGCCAGGGCGTCGGATTCGGAAACTCGCTGTCCCCCGGATTCGGAAACTTCGAAGACACGGATTCGGAAACTTCCAGGCCCTCGGATTCGGAAACTTCAAGGCCTTCGGATACGGAAAGTTGCGGCTCCCCCCGGATTCGGAAACTTGAATTTGGGATTTAGAAATAGCATTGGTGTGGAAACTCCCAGTGCCGAGATCTCAAAAAAAAACAAACTGCATTGTGGAAAAAAGAACATTCCGGATGTAGTTCGTCGGATTGATCTGAAAATGCAAACTGATCTCCTATATGTATAGACTCACTGATGCAATCCGAATGGTTGATCATACACGAATCCAATGTATCCCAATATTGACTGGTGTATTCCAATAGTACTGCGCAAGGCGGTGGCGGAAGTTTCAAAAATAGGAAATCTATAGGCAGGGTGTGCCGGGCATGCCGTAGAATGGGAACCGGACCGAGTGAGAAGAACTCTATGCAAGGGAAGGATTTGCATTGAGGACTACCATTGCATGCAGGGCTTTGGGGGGGGAAGTTTAGAAAATGACTTGCAATCGTGACAAGAACTCTGTGAAAGGGAAGGATGTGCATTGAGGACTACCATTGCATGCAGAGCTTTGGGGGGGGGGAAGTTTAGAAAATGACTTGCAATCGTGACAAGAACTCTGTGAAAGGGAAGGATGTGCATTGAGGAATACCATTGCATGCAGAGCTTTGGGGGGGGGAAGTTTAGAAAATGACTTGCAATCGTGACAAGAACTCTGTGAAAGGGAAGGATGTGCATTGAGGAATACCATTGCATGCAGAGCTTTGGGGGGGGGAAGTTTAGAAAATGACTTGCAATGGTGACAAGAACTCTATGCAATATGCCATTGCATGCAGGGCTTTGGGGGGGAAGTTTATAAAAAGACTTGCAACCGTGAGAAGAACTCTATGCAAGGGAAGGATGTGCATTGAGGAATACCATTGTATGCAGAGCTTTGGGGGGGGGAAGTTTAGAAAATGACTTGCAATGGTGACAAGAACTCTATGAAAGGGAAGGATGTGCATTGAGGAATACCATTGTATGCAGAGCTTTGGGGGGGGAAGTTTATAAAAATGACTTGCAACCGTGACAAGAACTCTATGCAAGGGAAGGATGTGCATTGAGGACTACCATTGCATGCAGAGCTTTGGGGGGGGAAGTTTAGAAAATGACTTGCAATGGTGACAAGAACTCTATGAAAGGGAAGGATGTGCATTGAGGACTACCCTTGCATGCAGAGCTTTGGGGGGGGGGAAGTTTAGAAAATGACTTGCAATGGTGACAAGAACTCTATGCAAGGGAAGGATGTGCATTCAGAAATACCATTGCATGCAGAGCTTTTAGGGGGGGAAGTTTAGAAAATGACTTGCAACCGTGACAAGAACTCTGTGAAAAGGAAGGATGTGCATTGAGGAATACCATTGTATGCAGAGCTTTGGGGGGGGGAATTTAGAAAATGACTTGCAATGGTGACAAGAACTCTATGAAAGGGAAGGATGTGCATTGAGGAATACCATTGTATGCAGAGCTTTGGGGGGGGAAGTTTATAAAAATGACTTGCAACCGTGACAAGAACTCTATGCAAGGGAAGGATGTGCATTGAGGACTACCATTGCATGCAGAGCTTTGGGGGGGGAAGTTTAGAAAATGACTTGCAAAGGTGACAAGAACTCGATGAAAGGGAAGGATGTGCATTGAGGAATACCATTGTATGCAGAGCTTGGGGGGGGAAGTTTAGAAAATGACTTGCAATGGTGACAAGAACTCTATGCAAGGGAAGGATGCGCATTCAGAAATACCATTGCATGCAGAGCTTTCGGGTGGGAAGTTTAGAAAATGACTTGCAATGGTGACAAGAACTCTATGCAAGGGAAGGATGCGCATTCAGAAATACCATGGCATGCAGAGCTTTTCGGGGGGGAAGTTTAGAAAATGACTTGCAATCTTGACAAGAACTCTATGAAAGGGAAGGATGTGCATTGAGGAATACCATTGTATGCAGAGCTTTGGGGCGGGAAGTTTATAAAAATGACTTGCAACCGTGAGAAGAACTCTATGCAAGGGAAGGATGTGCATTGAGGACTACCATTGCATGCAGAGCTTTGGGGGGGGGAAGTTTAGAAAATGACTTGCAATCGTGACAAGAACTCTGTGAAAGGGAAGGATGTGCATTGAGGACTACCATTGCATGCAGAGCTTTGGGGGGGGGAAGTTTAGAAAATGACTTGCAATCGTGACAAGAACTCTGTGAAAGGGAAGGATGTGCATTGAGGAATACCATTGCATGCAGAGCTTTGGGGGGGGAAGTTTAGAAAATGACTTGCAATCGTGACAAGAACTCTGTGAAAGGGAAGGTATGCATTGATGACTACTATTGCATGTAGGGCTTTGGGGGGGGAAGTTTAGAAAATAACTTGCAATGGTGACAAGAACTCTATGCAAGGGAAGGATTTGCATTGAGGAATACCATTGCATGCAGGGCTTTGGGGGGGGGAAGTTTATAAAAAGACTTGCAACCGTGAGAAGAACTCTATGCAAGGGAAGGATGTGCATTGAGGAATACCATCGTATGCAGAGCTTTGGGGGGGGGAAGTTTAGAAAATGACTTGGAATGGTGACAAGAACTCTATGCAAGGGAAGGATGCGCATTCAGAAATACCATTGCATGCAGAGCTTTTCGGGGGGGAAGTTTAGAAAATGACTTGCAATCTTGACAAGAACTCTATGAAAGGGAAGGATGTGCATTGAGGAATACCATTGTATGCAGAGCTTTGGGGGGGGGAAGTTTATAAAAATGACTTGCAACCGTGAGAAGAACTCTATGCAAGGGAAGGATGTGCATTGAGGACTACCATTGCATGCAGAGCTTTGGGGGGGGGGAAGTTTAGAAAATGACTTGCAATCGTGACAAGAACTCTGTGAAAGGGAAGGATGTGCATTGAGGACTACCATTGCATGCAGAGCTTTGGGGGGGGGAAGTTTAGAAAATGACTTGCAATCGTGACAAGAACTCTGTGAAAGGGAAGGATGTGCATTGAGGAATACCATTGCATGCAGAGCTTTTGGGGGGGAAGTTTAGAAAATGACTTGCAATCGTGACAAGAACTCTGTGAAAGGGAAGGTATGCATTGATGACTACTATTGCATGTAGGGCTTTGGGGGGGGAAGTTTATAAAAAGACTTGCAACCGTGAGAAGAACTCTATGCAAGGGAAGGATGTGCATTGAGGAATACCATTGCATGCAGAGCTTTGGGGGGGGGAAGTTTAGAAAATGACTTGGAATCTTGATAAGAACTCTATGCAAGGGAAGGATGCGGGACAGGGTGGAGTTGCTGAATCGGGACAGGTTGGAGTTGCTGAATCGGGACAGGGTGGAGTTGCTGAATCGGGAGAGGGTGGAGTTGCTGAATCGGGACAGGGTGGAGTTGCTGAATCGGAACAGGGTGGAGTTGCTGAATCGGGAGGGGGTGGAGTTGCTGAATCGGGACAGGGTGGAGTTGCTGAATCGGGACAGGGTGGAGTTGCTGAATCGGGACAGGGTGGAGTTGCTGAATCGGGACAGGGTGGAGTTGCTGAATCGGGACAGGGTGGAGTTGCTGAATCGGGACAGGGTGGAGTTGCTGAATCGGGACAGGGTGGAGTTGCTGAATCGGGACAGGGTGGAGTTGCTGAATCGGGACAGGGTGGAGTTGCTGAATCGGGACAGGGTGGAGTTGCTGAATCGGGACAGGGTGGAGTTGCTGAATCGGGACAGGGTGGAGTTGCTGAATCGGGACAGGGTGGAGTTGCTGAATCGGGACAGGGTGGAGTTGCTGAATCGGGACAGGGTGGAGTTGCTGAATCGGCACAGGGTGGAGTTGCTGAATCGGAACAGGGTGGAGTTGCTGAATCGGGACAAGGTGGAGTTTCTGAATCGGGACAACCCGGAGTTTCTGAATCCTTGGAGTTTCTGAATCGGAGTTGCTGAATCGGAGTTGCTGAATCGGGTAAAGTTTCTGAATCGTAATTTATTCCTGGAGTAAGCCATTGCTCTACTAGAGGATATGTCGGAGGTGCGTAGACCTCATCGTAATAGCTCTTGTGTTCCACCTGCACATCTGGAAACAATCCTTCAATCTTTTCAATGGTCCAAGCAAAACGTGCTCTTCTCATTGGTATAGCATCCAAGCAATCCAGTTTATACGGTCTCTTACCTACCTCTGCAGTAATCTCTTCAGCCGCGCTGCGGTCCATGGATGCCACATTTTCCAGAACCTCCTTTATAACCACTCCCACATCAAACTCCTCACGAAGTAGGCCGCTAATCCTAGGAACTTCCCAGAAAAGACTGCTCTGACTTCCCAGCAAGTTGAGGCGGTTGAACTTCACCGCTGACAGGTCCGTACATGGGAAGCCTCCCCACAGGTGAATTTCTTTCACTTTCAAAAATTTCAAGCTCCACTTTCTCACTTCTGCACGAGTGACCAACTTGACATCCTTGACAAAAATCGTATTAGGCCATCGTCTCGATGTTACTCGGTTTGCCCCATCATCAAGTTCTACTGCTATCCTTCCCATGGGTTCAACTCCAATTATGTCATAGGCACGGAATGATCCCCCTATGCCGTTGAAAAGGCTGATCACCAGCACCGGAATAACTTGCGAATCCGGTGACCGCTCAAGCTTTCGGTTGGCCTGAACAAAATCCTGCCCTGCAGAAGACAGTTGTGTAGTGAATCCTACCGCGCCTCCCAGTTCAGAGGCGTCTGCAGCCACCACATGCTTGGAAATACTAGCCCCTAAGTTGCAATGTAGCAAGAAACTGCAGCTGACCAAGTTCAGAAGCTCTCGCTTGATTGCGCACCGCAGGCCAGCTGTCACTTTTACGTTACCTCCAACCAGTTCCCATGTTCGCTGCAAGAAACTCATTGCTGGGCGCCTGAATTGAAGGGCAAACACCCAGCGCCCAGCCAAGATTTGTAGGTGCTTCCGGTTCACCAGCCTCTGACATACCAAACACAGGGTACTTTGTATGAGCTGAACCAGTTTGGCTATGCTCACCCCTAACATCTTCTCATCTCCATGAATTTCAGCGCCCAGCTCAGTGGCTCGCCGAGCTGCAGAAACCCTATTGCCCCTTGAAGAGACAACTCCTGCGTCTTCCCATGCCGCTTCAGCTGCAAAGATCAGCTCGTGTGGCACTCGAACATGGCTCTAAACGTTCCCCAGCACAGAAGTTATCCAAATAAATATGCCACCAGAACTTATCCTCTTCAGAAGAATGGGTCAAAATATCCGAAAACCAGCATGGCAATGATTTCCCTCGCACCACTTGATTGAAAGGTGAAATAGAAGTCCTCTTGAGTAGGTTCTCGGAAATCTCTTGCATAATGCCAACCGAATTGTGCCAACCCATTGGAATAACGCTGCAAGCCAAAGCCATCTTTTCCCCTGTATCCAAACCAATATCGACCCCATCATAAACAATGTTGAAGGACAAGTATTTCAACCAAACCCGAGGCAAACGGAACAGATAAAAAGCAGACGACATATCACTCTGAAAAGTTTCAATCACTTCCCCCTCATCAATCACCAGACTCTGCCAAGATGTTATAGACAGCAAGCTATCTGTACCCCCTTCAAGTTGCACCTGGGTAGAGTTTGAGCCTGTAAGATTCATGATGCACCTGAAAACAGGTGCCCCATTCTCCAACTTTTTGGGCTTCTCCACACCGAAAAGTCCGTTGAGGACTTTGACCCCATTGACCGAATAAACCTCTTGTAGGGGTATCCATTGACAAACACCACGACGAACTAACTCTTGTGCAATACGCAACTTATCTCCTTCAACAATGTGCACTTTACCAGGCATCCTAGGCAGCTCTATGTCACTTTGATCTTTGAGAAGTAGATGAGGATTCATAAGGAAATTCCGCGTCCTACCACCTACCCATTGTAAAGAATCGATGCACCCTCCATGTTCTTCAGGGGAAGCGCTGGTAAAATCTGATCCCAACTCAGTTTATGGCAGGTGGATAGCTCCTCACCAGTATAACCAACCTGTTTCCCTCTCATTTCTTTTTGCCATTCACTCAGCGAAAGTGCTGGCTGCGCTCGGTCGTCAGCTCCTTTACGAAGCACGGCCGCCCTAACACTGTCAGCCGCTGACCGCTCAACTCGAGTCCAGCTGCCAGGAGCTAACTCCGGCGTGGCCCCTGAAAGAGCATTAGCTTCTAAGGGCCAAACACACCCAGGCATCTGCCCACCAGCGCGCGACGTGGTCGTCTCCCACAGCGCTCTGAAGTGCAACCCTTCTAAAAACTCCAACCACCTCATGCAAATCCCCTTCTCGGAGTGGAAATGTAGAGCCTCGCGGTTTCGCGCGCCCTACGTGTGCTTGGCTGACTGGTGGATTCATCCAGCAGTCACATAGTTCCTTGGTGATACTGTCAAGCTCGGGTCCGGTACACCCAGGGTCCCAGCGACTACCCACCAGAGGAGCACACACCCAGTACGTTTGAAAGATGTGCAGAACCTCAATGAATCTGTAAAGGAAGTCACCGGGAGTGATCCGGTAGGCTCCAAGCTTAATTGGTTTTCGCGCCCGGCTAAAGCCAGCGCGTCACCTAGGGCCTCTGCAGGTCCCGTCACTTTTCGGGGATCTTCTCCTTGGTCTTCCCCGCAGTGCCTTCTCCATCTCCTCCTTGGTTTCCTCCCCACGTATTCTTGTTCTTTCCTTTTCCTTTTCCGCCCTTCTTGCCTTTTCCTTTGCTGCTGTCTGAGGTTTGCCAGTACGAATCTCCCCAGCTCTGGGTTCTGCCTCGACCTCCTTTTGCCTTGCCCCCTCCGCCACCAGTCCAAAGATCCTGGTTGGCGAGGCGAGCGGCCATCTTGGCGTGCTTTCGAGCCTCCAACACCACTTGTCCTCCAGCGGGAGAAGTTCGAGGTGTCGGGCTGTGGCCCATCCCCCGTCTATTATAGACTCGTCCGCTGCTCTCTCTAGGAGTTGTCTCTGTAAATTTTTCGTAGTACCATCTTTTATGGCCACCAATTGAGTCTCCTTGGCTGACTCCCTCTTGCGGTCTTTGCGGTGACCAGCTTCTCTCTTTTCTTCTCGCCTTCGACGGTCTTTCTGCTTCTCCTCCTTGGCAGCGGCCTGGGCAGGGCCGCCCGGCGCTCTCAGGTGACTGCCATCCTCCAACCTCTCTCGCAACGGTGAGGGTGAATAGCCTGGCGACATATAGATTCCTCGGGACTGGGCAGGCTTGGCCGCCGCTCCCGGGGGCTCCCCTGCCGCAGGGACGTTTTCCTCTGCCTCCCCTGGCACGGCAGTCTCCCCACCTGTGATATCCAATCTGGTGCCAGGATCCTCCAAATCGCTGAGGTCTTCTGTCATCCACTTCAATGCAGCTCGTCTGTAGTGAGCCGACACGTAGTCTGCTTCGAAGTCTGCATGCTCGTAGACCTTGAGAGCTCCTATATGAAGAGCAAAGTCGCCCTCTCCAATGCAGTCTGCCCCACACAAGTGGATGAGGCCTCGCTTGCGATTGAAGGTGCTGGAGAGAGAACGGGACAGTTCTTGATCTCCTGCTCCTAAGCTTCTCGCTTCCAGCACAAGGTCTCCATTCACGTTGATGGAGACGCGCTGCACCAGGAAAGCAGCTGGTGCCTCTCCTTTGGTGACGTCTGTCGACACCGGAACCTCTGCTTCTATGACTTGGCCTTTCCTCAGGGTCAAGCTGTTCCATCCTTCTGGATCCTCTCTGCTGTACTCTTTCGGTCCTTCACTACTCATCTCTTCTGCTCCTGCGGTGGTCTTGGAAATCCCCCACCCTATCTGGGGCGTCCCAATAGCTCGCAGCGATCCGCCGGTGAAAGGGCGTATTAGGATCTTCTAGAGCGCGGTGCAGCCTGGGCCTTTTGCGTCAGGGGCGGTTTCCTCTGCGATCCTTGTTTTTCTTTTTCTTCTTCTTCTTTCCTCGGTCCTCTTCTTCTCTAGGCTCCGACCTGGGCCGCCTGCGATCGCCCTCGGTCTCGCGGCGCCTGGGTGGATCCTCGGCTTCTCTGGGCCTAGGCGGTGCCGCCGGCTCAGGAGGCCTTCTAGCCGGGTCGGACTTAGCAGCGCACCCTGGATGTTCAGACTCCTCTGACTCCTCACCTTCAGAGTCCTCTGACGACTCCGGCGGCTCCTTCACAACAGAGCCTTGGGGACCTTCCCTCTCCCGGCTCCGGGGAAGAGGTGCCCTTTCTTCGCGCGCCGGGGTTGGCCCCGACCCCCGGGAAGCAAAAGCAGCCTGGGAAGCCCCGGCGCTCTGCAATCCCGTGGAGAAGGTTCGCAGCGCCGGTATGGCCTTTACAGCGCTGACCACCTGGTCGTTCGCAAGGGAACGAACCCCGGGGGAGAACCAGCGCGCGCAGAGCTCGTTCCACAAGGCCTCCCAAGCGCTAAGGGATTAGGTGTCCGTATCAGATGGGACACACTGGCGGCACTTGGCGCAGCTCATCACCCACCTAAACACTGAGCTGAAGCCTAAACAGTTACGTTGGCAAGGAACATTATGCCCATTCACACAAACAGTTCGTGGAACTCTATAATATATAATTTATAATCGCGTGTATTTTATATATATGTGTCCTACAGACAGAGTCATACATATGTTCAACTGTTCAACGGTTCAAGCGTTCAACAAATGTGAATGTGAATCGACATCTTTAGACTCCCAACCGAGTCTCACAAATTAACCAGTTAACTCTAACAGTAAATCAACTCCACAACAGTTCGGTTGATGAACAAATTATGCTTTGGCTCTCATGACATGTTCAACTCAAACCAGTCAGATATTTCATTGACTCAAGTTTCGTTTGCGCCCGCCCACTCTCCACCCAGCCGCAGGACTACCCAGTGAAGCCACTGCGGATCTGGAGAATGTGAAGGGTAAGGGTGTTGAAACGAATTCTGCGCCTGCGTCTACTATGGGTGATGCTGAGTCAACGGCTGCTGCTGTGGCTGATGCTGATGCAGAAACTATACCAGCAGTACTAGAGATGCAGGCGGCCCCAACTGGAGCAGAAGTTGCGGCCAATGTTTGTGGTGACATTGTTCCAGCGGCTCCTGTGACACTGGATCAGGATCCAGAAAAGCCAGGAGATAGCACTGCCAAAGATGGCACTGCTTCCACGGCCAAAGCTGCGGGCGATTCTCATGGGGATACGGATCAGGAGCTGGCAGAAGAGGAGGAAAAGACCGATGATGAAGTTTGGTTTGGACGTTTGGGCAATGCTCTCAATGCGGAGGGCGATGTTACTGACAATGCCACCCAATTCTACACACCATCAGCCGATGCTGATATGGGCCAGGATAATGGTGCTGGTGATGATGCTCCCGACCGGCAAGACTACTTGGATGCTTCGCCACAGCCAGGAATTCCCTGGTACTTTATGCGAAAGACTTGCAAGGCCGGATATTTTACTTATTTTGACTTTTTGGAATACCTTATGAGTATGAGCCTTATGACTCATAACTTATGACTTATGACTCATGGCAATCACAAGTTATATTAGACTCTAGACTAGTTACTAGTAGTGACTAGTTATAGTCATAGACATAGTTTTAGTTATGAGTTATGAGTTATCATGACTCATGACTCATGAGATTCATGACACCATTTCAGGCCAACTTGTAACTTGCAACTTGTAACTTGCAATTGTAACTCTTGTAACTCTTGCAACTACTTGAAACCAAAACTGATGATTCTGATTAGGAACTGATGCAATTATGATTATGATTCTAACTCTAGCAAAAGTTCATCGACTTGAACAGTTCCATTCTCTACTAACACTTGCACAAGTTATAGCCATAAATAAGCTCAAAATAATTATTACTATTGCTTATTTACTTCTTATTATTAAGTAATATTTTGTCTTATTATTATTTATTATTAACTAACTATTAGTGATTAGTTTTTGTTTTGAAAAGTGATAGTAAATTAAATAGTATTGTTAAAGGATAGGTTATCGCAATTATTAAATTATATAAATATTTATCTAATAGAAAAAACTAATATTACTAAAATGATAGGCACTACTATATACGGCAGTACTAGTTACTAGCTAGTGTAACTACCTAATTCACTCACTCGCTCATTCACTCACTAATTTACTTACTATATAAACATTAACAAGTAGCTATTAACTAACTGACTGGCTGACAAGCTAATTAGCTAACTCGCAAAAATTAAAAAGTTCTAACTCCTAACTATGTTTTTTCTAACTTTTAAGTCCTTCTAAACTCTAAATTCTAAACATTCCTAGCCTAAACAATTTAAAACTTGTTTTTGTTAAAACTAACTAACTAGCTAACTAATTTCACCAAATTAACTGAAACTTCTTACTAAGTCTAAGCCTAAGACAGTTAGCCTTGCTAAGCTACAATTCTAAGTTATTCCAACTCCAACGGATTCATCCATTCGGTTTGGGAGGCGCAGATGGACCAAGTAGTGGCCGGCTTTGGTTTCGAATCAATTGCTGTCAACGTGCAGTCGGTCCCTCGGCAGATTCAGGTAATGACGGCCTGCACGGGCACCGGCATGTGTGAGCTTGCGGCTTCGGCCCTGATTGCAGAGCTGAACCAGAGATTCATTGCGCGGCCTACGTTTGACTTGACAAAGGGGTCACAGCCACAGTCTGACTCATTCACAAAGTCATATATATTGCAAGTTTCAGGCAGGCTGAATTCAGGTTCAGCCATTTGGCATTTGGAATTTGGAATGAGCCTTTCCAAGTCTGAGCCTGGGTTGTCATAGACCAAATTGGCTGTTGGTAGTTGGTAGTCATTAGTCATGCCTGCATGCATGCCTGCATGGCAGTCATGTCAATCAAACTAACACCCTGCCAATTTTGCCAACCTTTTTGAATTGCCAAAGCCAGACATGCATTCCACTTTACTTGAAAGAACCTTGAAGCCAGGTGTCGCACAGCTTCATGTGTGAGATTGTTCCGAACAAGCAGAGCTTTGCCCTGAAACATGCGATTCCCGAAGAGGATCCTGAGTACTGTGCACTGTACTGACTGACTGTACTGTACTTTCATTCCTCCCCTCCTATGACTCTGACTCTGACCCAGTCTCAGTAATGGATTTGTAACCAGTAACGAACTTAATCTGTGATGCTGTCGTGACTCACACCCAGGAGCTGGATATGGTGTGCATGTTTGAGGACATTACCAAACTGCACAACAAGGATGAGCGGAAGTGTACGGTGCACGGCACATGCTGTGCGAGTGCCTCAAATCTCTTTCACACGTTTGAGACTTCTCACATGGTACTTCTAGAATCGAGAAGATGATGAATGGTTGGTTGGATTATGGTTATGACTACTCTGACTACAACTATAACTTTAACTTTACCTTACCTTACTATATTTTGTGAGGAAGTAGAGTAGATTGTAGATTACACTTTGCACTCTGGACTTTAGACACCAGAAGAACATGTCAGTAATTCAGTCAGTCGTTTTTGTTGTTGACTGACTGTTGGTGTTGGTGATGATTTTGAGTTGTAGTAGTTGATTGTAGCCGTAGCATTGAGCCGGCTCTTTGAGGCTCTGCCGGAATGTTCAGGGGATGATGGTGTCTTCTCGATCTTCGCAGCTGGCTTCAGCTGCAAGCCCCTTGGCAATTGCATGAGTGTGTGGCACGGTAGAGCCAGTGGTTTGTGCCGTGCCAAGTTTGGACTCACAGTCACAGGTCTTTCAGCAAGATGAACAATGACTTTAGCAGCCTGAAAACAGCTTTGAAAGATGGGACCGGTACTTGTCGATGGCAAGTTGAGGGGAGGAGGGCTAACTATCACGCTGATTGATTTTGTTGGTTCAATTCGGTTCAATCTGATATGTTGGTTGAGTTTGTATTGATTTTTGATAGCAATAAATGATGAAACATTGTTAATGATAATGGCATTCTGATACTAGACCGTACTGTATTACTGTATAGTCTATAGTCTATAGTCTGTCTATAGTCTATAGTCTCTAGTTAACTATTCTTTATTGTGAATGGACTGTGACTTGGCCCTTGAACTTGTATTTGCCGTCGGTCTTGATCGGGTACTAGTAATTCTCCACCTCCCCAGGGCAGCGCAAGCGGTGTTCCTTTTCTCGCATGGGAAAGCGTCGGGTTGCTTGAGCCGCGTGCCACAGATGACAAGAGGCTGTGGCACAAGGCAAGTACTGGACATCACGCTATTTAATTCCTGCCTACACTGCTTTCGCACCCCCCATGTCCAACGCTCTCAGACCACGTCGACGAACGTTGATCGAGGCATTGGACACAGGAGCTTAAACATTTGAAACGCAGGCAAAGATGTCCTATCTACGCTCCCTCTGTACGTAGCCAAAAGTTGTGAGCCGCTGATCTACACTACTCTAGGGTTGTGTACTCCCGGACGGCGGCGTCCGTACCGGTTTCCACGCACCTATCGAATTAGATCCTAGGTTCATACGCCCTTTAAATACTGTTCCCTTGCATCAGGAAATCTTCGCATCCTAGATGCATGAGACTCATACGAATTAGCCCGGCACTCAGAATCCTCTCATAAGATCTCTTCGTTGACATAGATCTAGAGGAACTCATCTTTTGCGCCGCTTCTTGCCAGTGTCGGTCTCCTTGGTGCTCGCCGAAGCCTGTTCTTCTGCGGGTTGTTCATCACCAAGTGCTCGAACATATTGCCTGGCAATTTCACGTTCTGCAGGATCAAGAGATCTGAGACATGTAGCCATCTGTGTTGCGCTCTGCTGTACAGCTTTGAGCTTCCCTTGCCATACTTTGCGTAGTTGCTGAGGTAGCTCCAGGCCGATCTTGTTGAGCGTCACGAGGATGGCAAAATGTTCTGCATCTTTCCGTCACTGCACACGCTAGTTCTACAGGATCAATATGAACATGATCGTCCCGTCGAGGTGGTGTGACACGAAAATAGTCGTAGGAACGCACGGCAAAGGCACCGGAGATAATCTTCCTGACAAAGTCAGATGATTCCCGTCGTGCTTCTGCTTGCCGCTCGTCGTCCTCGTCCGTGTTGTCGGCAACCTTGGAGAAGATGAGTTGAGGGGTGATGCCAATCTGGATCAAGTACCTCATGATCTTGCAAAGCACTCGAATACCATTCACTCCCTTCAAATAGGTTTCCAAATCACGCCCGCCGATCTTCCCATTCTTGGCATTCGCGTGGAATGAAGCGATCAGCTGCGCTTCTGTCGGTTCTTTCAATTCACCATTTGCAGTCTCGCCCACGTATGGAATGTACCCGTCAAATTCAGGAATGAGTTTGAGTCTCAACACGTGGTCATGATACTGCTTGGCGGGTGCCACTGAAGTCCACAGATGAAATAGCCGATATCGATCCTTGAGATAGCTCAGAATCATGCAGTCCATCGCGCGAGCTGTGCTGTCGATGGCGTCCTCATTCTGGGCGATATCGATACATTGAATAAGTGAAGCTTGGATGATCCTTGTTGTCCACATAGGCAATCGCATCTTTGCTTCTCGGCGCTCTTCATCTTGGTCCTGTTCTTTGGCAACCTTTTCATCTTCTTCTTCTTGTTGCTCTTTGGTATTGTCACCGAATACAACTTTCTGATCAGGTACATTGCGTCGACGTTCTTCTTCAGGTTTGACGTTCTCATGGCTTGATCTGGCATCGGTCATGTCAATGTCATCATCCGGAGCCTCCTCGGCATTCTTCTTTGACTCCCTGACCAGTCTGTCGATCTCCTCCTGGTCCTCGTTCTCCATCTCGACGTCATCGTCATCGGCATCCTGACCATCTCCGCTTTCTTGCCTTTCTCTTTCGGGCATTCCAGGGGCAGTGCTCTCATCTTTCTCTGCTCCAGCCCTGGTAGCTTTGTAGTTCTCCTGGCGGAATCGTTGCTCCTCGTCATCATCTCTTTTGGGAGCATCATCCTTCTCCACATCGTCGCCCTGAAGTTTCTTCCTCAAGTTGATCAATGCTGACTTTACTGGATCATTGCCTTGTTTAGGACATTCATAGTTGGGATGACCACCTTCACCACATTTCAGGCAGACGTTGTTGTCGTCCGCCAGGGCAAAGAGCGCGTTGATGGCCTCGACGATGGCACCCTTGTCCTGAGAGATCTGGAACTCCTCCTCAGGATTCGATGGAGATTTAGGCGCTTCGTGCATGTCCGGGGTGGTCGACGAACCTGCCCCTTCAGCACTAGCTCCAGCTCCTCCGGTCGTCGGTCCTGGGGTGGTCGACGTACCATCCCCGGTCCTCGGACCTTCGGTCCCCATATCATCATCGTTGGTGTCATCTATCTTGGACCTTTTGTAGTTTTCGTTGATGACGCTAATCTCCTTGTCCTCAATCAGGCATACATACTGTAATCCATGGTACATTGGGATGTCACGCAGGATTTGGTTCACCAATGTCTCCTCATAGTTGGTAGGTTCGGTGATCCTCGATCCACCTCTCTTTGTGTTTGGAGTTGTGGTAGATCTTGTCGTCCCATGGAAGATGTTGATGGATGCTTCCAGGCCTGCAAGAAGCTCACCTGGGTCGGCCTTTGTTTCCATGAACGTGATCTGGGATTTCGTCATGTTGGCCACATCCAACATTCCAAGCCACATTTCGACCACGTCTCCACATTTCTCGGCCGTTGCATCAGCATATCCCATGACCTCCGCGAAATCATCTCCGAGCACCATCTTGAGGTAGTCCTTGTAGAAGACATTCCCATAGTCCTTGGTGACACGATATGCAAATCGTTCATGGGCATCATTGCCTTCACCCAGAGTGAACTCCTCCCGGATGACACCGTATTGTCTTCCACGTTTCCCAACAAAGATCTGTTTAACTCGATCTCTGGGAACTCTGACCATCCCAAAGTGCGACAGCGCCTTCATGAGGATCTCACCGTGCTCGCATCCTTTGTTGCCCACCATCGATTTGGTGATGTCCTTGAGGAACTGCACGAAGTCCTTCTGAGGGTCTGTCACTGGACTGCCTGATTCCATCATGATGTTGAAGAATGCGCGGGACCGTGCCGCCGTTTTCACGATCGTCTTTCTCTGGTATTCTGGCGGCCAAAGCTGGTAGTCCCTCATCGTCTCACTTGCTCGGCAAGCGATGCATTCTTTTCCACAATTGAAGTCTTGCCTCATTTGATCAGTCGGCATAACTTCATCATCACCCCCAAGGTAATGTCCTTGACATAGAATCATCTCATCTCGCCCATGGTTGACGTAGAACCACATGTCGTACATGTTTGCCGATGGCTCAGGAAGAACTGATCTGACTGTGGCCTCGATCCATGGTGCCTTCTCATACTCAACACTCGATCTTCTTCCACCTCCAACGGTACCTGGGCGCGTAGATTCTGTGCTCGCGGTGTCTGGCACTCCGCCCCCTGTCCCAATTTGGATTGTGAGAGGTTCCTTGAGCACGTCCTCCATCAGCTCCAGGTTGATGCCGACCTTCATGGAAGATTCCCTCTCCATGTCATTCAATCCTTTTGCAGCTTCAACATTGAGGGAACACATCAACAATACCCTCTGTCGAAACAAGAACTTCTCCATGGTGGCGAAGACTCCCAATCTATCCGGCTTATTTTGATTGTTCATAATATAGTGGTTGCCGGCATGACCATACATCAATCGCCACATCCCATCATCAGTTGTGACCATGATTCCAAAGCTTCTCAGGATGTCGGCAGAGTCTATGGCGATGTCCTGGATGCCTGATCGGATACCATGAAATCTTGGATCCTTGCAGAGCGACACAAAGATTGGTCTTGTCGCCAACTTGTCGACCCTTCGGATCGCTTCAGCGAGTCTCTCCGCATAATTCCTCTCAACCCAAACATGGTATGGATGAGTGTCCGTGACGAGGAATGCAAATGATATCCAAAAGTGGATGGTCATGTTCTCCTCGGCCGCGATGTCGGGCATCACGTCCTTGATCAAGTGTTCGACCGCATCGAGGAACTTCTGGGCTCTGGTCACGCTCTTGAAGCTGTTGATGTCGATGACCGTGACCACATATCCCAGCTCATCAAGCCCATACTGGATGTTTGTCGTTCCCCTTGAGTGCGATTGACACCTGTAGTTGAGGTCTGTGATCAAAATGGTCTTGCCGAACCTGAACTTTCCTGCCAATTCATCTTTTTCCTTCCTCACCATTGGCTTATCCACAATGGTCCCACCGATGCCTGACATCAGGCCTCGCTTCCACTTTTCGTAGTTGCGGTCGGTGGCCTGTGCATCATCATTCTTCTCCACCATGACTGTCATGGACCCAACAGAGAGGTAGTAGTTCTGGTAAACCAATCCTCCGCGCTTTGTTGCAGCGTTGTAGATTCTCAGCCATTCCATATCGCTGAACGGGTAGGATGCTTCACCAATCTCTCTTGCGTTGGCGAGTCCGAAACACAAGCATGTGTACGTGGCCACCCTTCAGAGGTATTGACGCCAAGTTGATTGCACATTGTATGCCATTGGTCCTTGGACATGCGACAATGCAAACTCGGTGTCAGAAGTGCTCACATGGGAATTCAAGATTGATCTCACCTGAGTTCCCGTGTAGTCCGTCAACACTCTGGGCATTGGCTTTGCCGCCGGCTTAGGTGCCGCCTGTGGTGGTGGCGGTTGTGGTCCAGCCGAACCTGACGCCTGAGATCCCGATGCACTCGGTCCTGGTGGTGCCGATGGTGATGTCGGTCTTGCCTTCGGCGGTGGTGGTTGCGCCGATGGGTAAGGCTGTGGTGGTGCCTTGTATCCTGGTGGTGGCGTAGGAGGTGGCTTCGGTGTGAACCTGGTGACCCTCGGTGCAGGTACTGCAGGGTCCTGGATCGTGACCCATTCTGGAATCCACGACCTCGGCGGCTCTGGCGGCCAAACTCCATCACCAAACCTCAAGACTTTTCTCCATCCACTTGGAGCCACTTGTACTCCAGGTTGTCCTCCACCAGCCTGAGTTTCAGAGAGGGTTGTCATGAAATCCCTCAGGGCAGAAAAGCATTTGTTTCTCTTCTTGATCTCACCGTGGTTGCCCTCCTCAACGTTGATGACGTTGTAGCCATGGTTCTGCAAGATTTCCGAAGTGAGCATCAGAGATTGTTGAATCTTGGCAAAGTAGTCGTCGATCTTCCTGATGTTCGTCCTTGCAATCTCGGAAAAGTGCCACAACCTATCCAGCTTCGTTCTGGCCCTGAAGATCGGTGGTGATAGAGCCAGAATGCAAGTGAAATGATTCACCGCTGCAGCTCGCTCGCGGCCCAGCTTGGTGTTCTGCTCGATGAGGTCATTGATCGTTGTCTCCAACGTCATAGGATCTACCATGTCTCCCTCATCGTCGACCTTTTGGTTGTAGCATCTCCATGCGTGCCCAAGATGGATGACTTGACGTTGCCACTCATCGAGCATCGCGTTGAATGTGTTCTGGATTGATGTCGACTGCCAGGACGTGCCCATGTCGAAGTAGTGGAGCTCTCGATGAATCGCCCTGAACGAGATAGTGATGGGTGCATCAGGGACGGACGGGTTGAGAACCCCGTCCTTCTTCCTTGTTGCGCTCAACCAAGTATCCTCTGCCGGGACAGATTGGTTCACACCTCGTAGATCACCTCCGAAAGGTCGAAGCTTGAATTCACGAAGGTGATCACGTAGCATCGATACTGTAAGTGCTCCATCGGCTCGAATTGGGTGTGGTACGTGGAAGTTCTTGATGCACTCCCACATGTTTCCCAATCCATTGATGCACTCCGATGTGCAGAATCCAAGAACTTTGTGATTGTTCCGAGATGCCAGTTGTACAAAGGTCTTCATGTAGGTGGTGCACTTGTCCAAGAATCTTTTAGCTCCAGTGTTGAGCTCCTCCTGGTTCTTGATCAATTCCAGAAGCTGGAGGTACAGTGTGATCGCGTCCACCTCGGACCTGTTCGATGGCACCTTCCCCAAGTAGCAGGCTGAGGCCGCCGCGATCGGACTGATCCCAATCGCATGCCACTTGTTGACCGTGACGTCGGGCTGGCTGTTGATGGTCGGGTCATACTCCTTGTACATGGCTGGGATGACACCTTGTCTGCCATTCTCCCTCAACGTGATGAGGATCTTGCAGATGTCGTTGAGATCATGTTGCGCAGAACCAATGATCTGCGAGTAGTTCGACATGGCAACCTTACCGGTCGGTTCACTTACTCCTGGTCGGCGACGCCCGATCCAGTTTCGGATCCCCTGTTCGGCGGTGCACAGCGAGTGAGCCCTTTCGAGATCACGTACTCCCGGTCGGCGACGTCCGATCCGGTTTCCGATCACTCGTCCGGTGGCACACAATGATTGAGAAGCCGCAATAGTCTTGAAGGATTGACTTCCCATAGTTTGATGTCCTGAGAAATCAGGGTCAACATTGATCTGACATCTGTCCTTGTGAAACATCATCAACCACATGAGATCCGCTGTAACTTCATCATTGTTGTATGCAACTGATACCGCTGTCTTCTTGATGGAACGTCTATCATGCATGCAACTGCTGCATGTGTTATCTCCACTTGACAACGACTTCTTGAACCGAATAGACACATTCCGACATATCGTTTTCAAGATGATGTCGACGATCTGCTGGGTGTAGGTCTGAGTGATCCTTGTTTCACGACCTTCACACTTCCCATGATCATGTCTTCGGTCACACTTCTTGTGTAAATCAAACTTAACCCCCCACGATACAATCCTCCATGGCTTCTTAATAGGAATACGACGATCATCAAACTGTGTCTTCAGACCATACATGCATCCGTCAAAGTCATGGACATGTGATTCTGTACCTTCAACCATGCACTTCATCCGTTCATCATGCCAATAATCACAACCTCTTGGTAATTCCAGTAGTGCCATGGCATCCAACTTAATCACTTTCAGAAGACAATTTGAAAACTCTTCCCATAATTTCCAGTATAGACGTGCTTTGGCGTTGATCAAATGAGCAGTGAACCAACTGACTCTTTTGTTCAGCCTGTTCCATGGAGATCCGCCTGTGCAAGGTCCAGCGAAGAAGACGCAATCCTTGTTGCTGCGGAGGCATCTCCTCCACTTCGCACTCCCATATCTGGAGAGAAGGTCATCATCCTCCGTGATCAACTCCAAATGAATAGATGTATCCATAATTGTACTGTATCTCTTTGTCATCAAACTTGAAGGTTCAGCACACATCAATATCATAGCGGGTGTACTTTCGGGCAACTCTTGCAATGTAATAGTGACGTTCTTCCCCAAATATTTTGTACTCTCGAGATCGGGAATAGATCTGACGAACGTATACTTCATGCATTGCCCATTGTCACGAACCAATAATAAATTGATCAGACTGTCCGCAAATATGTTCAACTCACTGTCATTCTTGTTCTCTTCGATCATCATCCGATATGTGTGGGGAATAAATATTTTGTTCGGTGAAATGATGTCCAGACCCATGGCGTTGACACAAGCCATCAGATTATCATCCATAATGCAACTCGCAATCGGAAGAACCTCCTGATGTCTCAAAACGCGAAAGATAGACTTTCCAGTCCAGAACTCATTTCGATTGTTTGACCTTTCTCCATTATCACCACGGAGACGCCAATTACTTTTGTCCACCCTCACATTCGACTGGAACTTCAATTGAGTTTCTCTCCAATCTTGAATCAAACGATGATCACAGGGACAATCTTCACAATCACTTGGAACGAACATTTCTCTTCTTGGTATATTGTGGATCCTTTCCAGAATATGATCACCTATCCATCTCCATTCATCACGAACAGGAACTTCATCATGACCACATTCAGTTGCTGATGCTACTTTCTTGATGTTTCTTCTCCGCATATGCGATTTTGTCGACTTGAAACTCTTTGTTTTGGAACTTGACGATTTTGAATCCTCCATGCCTCTCCCCCCATGAACAAGGCGTACTATAGCATTGATCACCCTTATAGTCATGGGATGCCCGTCATGTAACGTAAACGGAATCTTCTGAGTACGTTGAGCTTGTTCAAAGAGTATTTCAGTACTGAATGTGAGGCTCGGATGATTGTCCAGTTCAAACGTCGCCGCACGTGAGAACTGTTCTCTGGCCGCCGTCGACGCACATGCGGGCAGTGAGACAATCGGAGCGGAAGTGGGGGAATGGTATTGAAAACATGCCCTTTCAATCCATTTGTCAAAACGTGATTGTTGTAACAATGGTGGAACACGATCCTCCACTCTTTCCCACTTCCCGTGGACTAAGATCCAGGTGCTCCGAAGGCAATCTGCAGGAAGTTTGACACCAGCTGGTCTTGTTCTGAACAATGTAGGGGTTTTGACCACAAAGATAGGATCCATACCAGGTAGCTCTTGAAGCTTTTCGCGACTTGAAAGACCCTTACGGTACACCTCAGGTGGCAGTATGGGTGTTTCAGTATATGGAAAATTAGGAACCTCATCTGTCCTTGACTGAAAAACTTGACGAACTGTAGTGTCAACATCCGTAGTGGGCTGCACTAGGTCTGCCAATTGCTTCGAACCAAGGTCTTCGGGTTCCAAAAGATTGATCAACATGCATGCCTTTTTCCAGGCAAGTGGGTTTGTAAAACCTTTTGTGTGGATGTCCGCGGCCATCTTCGCTGTGATCTCATACATGAGAACAAAGTGATCTTTGCTGAAATGCTCATGCAATGACGTAATAGAAATTCCATGAGTCCTTTCCAAATGCCGCATTGTTGGATTTCTTTTAGAACGAACCACGCCAATCATCCCTTGGTTGTCATCATGAAACAACAGCTTGGGAGAAGATTCTGTAAGCGTTTCCCAAATACTGAGGGCAGGAAGACCCATTGTTCGAAGGGTTACATCAGCGGCTACGATCTCAGCTTCAGGTGTAGAATGGCTCACACACCCCTGGCGTTTGCTTCCACCAGCTAACGGAAACCGAGTACGTTTCCCCTGAATATGCATATGAGAACCTGATGTGGACCTCAAAGATTGCGCACATCCCGCAAAGTCAGCATCTGCATATAACGCAATGGATAAATCTTTCATGTCATTCCCGACCCATCCAATCATTCTCTTCCCTAAGGTAGAGTTGACATAGCACATAAGATGGTATAGTTTTGCATCATCTTGTATGGACCATTTTGTCACATTGCGTGCTAGTGTATTGATCGATCTCAACAGATCAAATCGGGCGATCCTTGCTGCATATAGAAGCTTCATCAAGATGCTAGCAGCATGAGGGGCAAGTGTACCTCGTTGGACTTCAACAGATTCCGGCCGGAAATCGGAGGCACCGGGCTGTAAGGCAACCGGCGATCCAGGATCAAATTTTGTAGAACACCAAGGACATTGAACTGCATGCTTAGGGTCCCCAGGTGTTGGTGCTCGAGACTTATGTTGTTTTGTCTCTTCAGGGAGACTAGGTGTTGAGACCTGTTTTAATTTGGTATCCTTCCCAACAAGTTCAAGATACCTTTCAACAGAGAGCTTTAAAAGACCCTCCATATTGTAGGTCATAGTTGTGACCTCTGTGCCGTCATAAAGGCGATTGGTTCCTTTGCTTAGCAAACAACCAAGATAAAGACCCAGATCAGTCTCTGGTTCTATGCGCAGCTTAGACCTTAACATTTCCCAACCTTTCGTGAGGTTCTGCGCTGGTCCAGCTAACTTTAGATCATCCACATAGATGACTAACAAAAGTTTGAGTTCCTTATGGAAATACATTGATGGCCATTCCTCCCCTACTGGCATAAAACCAATTTCACGGACATGTTTGTCACAATGTTGTTCCCACATTGTGCCCGCATCAGGATGACCATAAAGTGCTTTGACAAGTCGCACTACCGGTCTTCTGAACTTCCGGATGTCAACGTCGTCCGGCCATGCATCTTCAGGGAGTTCGACCCAACAAGGAGGTCCCGTAAGCCTCGCTTGAATATAAGCTTGAATAGCATCTGCTAACTTCACATCATGACCGGGGATGCAACCATAGAAATCTGCCCATCGGGAGGCTTCAAATGTCGCTGGGGAATTGCCGAGGTCCTGGAAGAACGCGGCTTCCCAGTGCTGGTTCTTAACTTGATTGCCAAGTAGAACGCCTCTTCCTTTGAACTTGCGTCCAGGGCTCCCCTTTGGTAGCTGGTAGTTCTTCTCGACACAAATGCCGTGTACTCGTGCCATGTGAACTTCTTTTCTTTCACGTTTTGCTTCTGCAACAACATCATCGTATTCACGAATAACGGAGAAGTCATACACTCCCTGCTTATGCTGTCCCAACCACTCATTCCTCATAGAAGCCTTGGCGTCCGGGTCTTCCATCATCTCTTTACGAGCAACAGGACGTGAGACCATCGCATTGAACAACTTCCCAAACCTCACATCAGTTTGACCGAACTTCTCACGATGTTCAAGGTCTTGATGAACACAAGGCATACAAGGAACTGAACTCACGAAGTGGTTGACCTTGGACTTGCCGTTGGAGTCTGTTGAGGTAGGAGTTGCTGGTGCAACATTAGCAGGTGCTGTGACTTTCCCGGTATTGAAGTCATAGTGAACATCTTCACAGTGAGCTCTTGGTCCATCTCCAACTTCATGTTCAGACCATTCGTCCCATTCGTTCAAGAACTCTTGACCATCATCATCACTTGGGACGTTTGTACTCGTTTCACTTGGCGCTGACGGTGATGTAGCATCACGCTTCTTGATGTCATCGAGATCACTCGCTCCATGGGGCGTCGGCGAACGTTCCCATGGGTTGCGACCTCGGTTGTGGATCGGTCTCGTCATCGGATCGTGGGGCGTAGATATACGTTCCCACTCTCCTCGGAGCGTCCCCACATTGACAGCAGCGTCCTTTCCACCATCTTTGCCTGAGCTCTCCTTTGACTTCTTATTATCCTTTTTCTTCTTCTTTCGACTTTCATCTCTGGCTGGATCTTTGGAGGAACTTGGATCATGTTTCTTCTTCTCGGAGATTTCGGCCTTGGCCTTTTTGTCTCTCTCCTTTTTCCACTTGATCTCCTTAAGCTTCTCAGCTTCTTCTTCAAGTTTTCCACGACGAATGATGACATCTCTCTCCTTAGCGGATAGTGCTCTCCATTCTTCCGGACTGTAACTGCTCTTTGGCCTTGGTGACCCTCGTACTTCTTTGCGACCATCTGGACCAACACGATAAGGTCGTCCACGTTTGTCGAGCTTGACATGCTCGCCGATGTCGCTGAGGTAGATGATGCCGTCACCAGGTTTACCCATAGAGATGTTCAGGCCCATCATAAGGAGGTTCACCATCAGGAGGAGGTAGAGGAGGACCATCAACGACTTCAGCATCATCAGCTTTCTCTTTGTCAAGTTTGATGTCCATTTCCTCCATCATGCGATGAAATTCTTCCTGATGTTCAACTCGATTTGTGATCTTACTCTTCTTGGGTTTGTCATCACCATCGCCTTCATCATCGTCGTCTCCATCATCATCATCATCATCATCGTCTCGCTGATCTTCAATGAAATCTGGTGATCCTTCAAGACGATCTTTCACTGCTAACCCTTCCAATGTAGTGTTCACCTTCTCGTAGATATCTTTGCATGGGAACGTCAATGGCAAGTGCACTTCGATCTTCTCAGTGAGATGTGGATGGCGTAGCTTGTCAATGATTGTCTTAGCATTGAACGAGTAGTTCTGCTTCGTCATGTCAGACGATGCCCATGCCATATATTGCCTTCGCCAATTGACACCTGGAGCTATTTCATAGCCTGCAAAGATACCAGGGATACCCTTGGGATCAAACTTGTGAGCTTGTTCATTGGCTCTGGCTCCACTCGGTTTGAAATAAACCAATGCACCAAATGGGATCTTGTCGCCCTTGAACTCGGCGCCATGGAGTTTACACCAAGCACTCACATCATCTTCACCAGGTTCCACATTGAGTAGATGACATACACACCGTATGGCAAACTTCCAGAAACATGCTGGTAGTCCAGCCTCGAGTAAGCATGTGGTAGTAGTTGCAATGACGAACTGGTTGTTGCGCTCGGCAAGAGAATTTGTCGAAGGTCTTCCCGGCAGAGCATGATCAAAGGGAATCTTGAGAGCCTCCATGCCCTTGACAAACTGTCTGGCTTTGTCAGAATAGGCTTCCCTGATCGTTCGTCTTCCCATAAAGTACTTGACCGCTCTCACAACATCTTCAGTGTTCTTGGTTGGAGAAGGGTAGCTCTGAATGATGCCGGTATACCTGTCTCGAATGACAAGAATCTCTTTGACCGTGTCATAGCCCAACTTGGTCGTCTTGCGAGTATCCATGAAGTCGAAGGTGATGAGGTCGCCGAACTTCGTGAGCTTTCGGCGAAATGCACCTCTGTAGGTCTTATGATGCTTCATCTTGGCCCTAACACAGGAGTTGCAGTATGGGTTCTTATATCGATGTGTCAGAAGATGTTCAAGAGTACGAGCTTCATGTTTCAACGTACCTCTCTTTGACAGACGTACTCCTCCATCAGGATCATCAACATCGATGTCATCCTCATCATCTTCATCTTCAGGTGGTCCATGTTCAACACCAATTTCATCTTCATCGGATTGATCGACTTCAGGAATATCATCAGCTGCTGGTACTCGATCGTCATCATCTTCTTTATCTTCATCCGCACCTGGAACTTCGTCAACACGAACTTCATCATCATCTGGATCTTCTTCGCGGATGGACTGCTCATAGTCATCGTCATCATCGAGTTCTTCACCAGCTGCTACCGGAGTCGTCTTTCGTTTGGAACGCTTCTTCTTCTTCGTCTTCCTCGGAGACTTCGTCGGTCCGTCGACGTACGTACCAACTCCATCCTCTGATTCGGACATCTCATCACCACTTTCACCATCTAGATAGATTGTCCTTGATGCATGGTTATTATCATTGAGACCCAACACTTTCATCACTAACTCGGCCTCGTAGTCTGACGATGGCCTGTAGTCCTTGGCTCCAAGGTAGACATATGGGATGAGATCATGAACTTCCATCTTAATCTTGCCACCCTCGGAGTTGATCATGTAGGGCTCTCTCCCGCTAGGCCATACAAAGGTGTAGCCTTGCTCCATACAACGTTTTCCCAATGACAAAACAGATGGGGTATCCTCCAACACATGAGCCCTTGCAGGATCATTGAACGTGTCGAAATCCAAATCCACCATCGTGGTTGTTGATGTGATGCCATTTGCAGTGTGGAAGTTAACTCGATCACTTTGATAGGTGTCAATGTCCATCCTATCCACTCTCGTAGATGATATAAGATCGTGACCACTGCCAGAGTCCATGATGAAACGTCGGTCCTTGAGCTCGATCGGCATAGTGATGCACATGACGTTGTCTCGACGACCATATTGTCCTGGAACATGAGGAATCACTTCCTCATAGCATATCTCATCTCGTGAGTTGTTCTCCAATAAATCAATGTTGTTGATCTTGAGCCTGATATCGTTCTTGGGTCCCAGGATGATGTATACTTCATCAACATCAGAAAACTCACCATAGTCGTCCATCAATATGCCAATTGCACGTGCTCTTGTCATTCCCAACTTGGATTGTAGTGCCCATTGTTGGTCATCCATGATTTCTTTGGTAGTTCTGCACGTCAATGACTTCTTCTGAGCTCTGGACATGTTTCTCTTTGGTTTCCTGTTGGAACATTCCACAAAATCAGGCTTCACATACACGATGGTTTCCACCTTGTCATTGAACTTGACATCCATCTTTTTCTTCTTCTCGATAGGCACTGCATTCACGATGAAATCGTCATCGTACTCACGGACTAATGCCGGAGTAGCTTTGGCGTCGGGCGTCTTTGTAGAAGGCGCCGCTCTCTTGCCCTTCATGCTTGGGTCATGTTTGAAGGTACATTTGTCACCTTTCTGACAATCGCCCTTTAGCCAACCATAGCAATGTCGATCCTTCTTTCCACCAGGGGTCTGCGATCTCCTTGGAGTAGCCGATCTGCTGTTCTTGCCCTTGCCACCTTTGTCCTTCCTCTTGTCCCAATGATATTGGGAGTGACTGTATTGGCATTTGTCACCATGCTTGCAATTGCCCTTGTTGAAGTGGAAGTGACAAAAGGTCTTCGAAGTATCTCGTGTGGAAGGTGATCTCGATCGTTTGCCACCCTTGCCTTTCCCCTTGCCGTGACTCTTGGGATTGCCGGAAGGTAGAACAGGAGCTCCAGGCTTGCCCTTGGGTGCTGGAGCACTCGGCTTTCCACCCTTCCTATCCTTTGGCGTAGGAGCCGGAGCCGTCGGCTTCGGAGCTGGGGTAGAAGGCTTACCAAGATTGGTGTAGTCCGTGGCAAACTTGTCCCTGGCCGCGATATTGCGGTCTTCGCGTGCACGTGCTATGTGCCTCCTCATTATCTCCAAGAGTTCACCATATGATTTCTTCTTATCATCATTGTCCCTACCCTTGAAGATCGTGAGGTCAACGTGCAACGCCTGGGAACCATCAATCTTCCTCAGCAGATGATCACGCAGTGTGTTGTCAGATGGAATGTCCTCAGCTTTCATGTTGGCGATGATCTCAATCCAAGCATGGAGGAACTTATCCATCTCTTTGTCACCACGATACTGTAACTTGTAGATGTGGCTGGCATTGAACAATACTTCATCTTTCGACGTTGTTCTGAAATGATCTAACACCATTGCCAATATCTCCCTGCCCATCAGGAAATTTCCTTCTTTTCCCAGAACTTGACTCCTCTGTCTGATCCGAACCTTGACCTCCGATGCCGTCTCGCCAGCGGAGTCTACCATGTTTTGCAAGGCAATGGATAACTTGGAGTCGATGGACTGGAAACGGAATTCTCCTGAATCGGCAAGTTCGGCATAATCAGGACTGGGTAATAGAGCAGGAGATAGCCATCTTCTCCATGCAGCCGTGTCTGGACCACCTGATGCAACACATACGGCTTGCACGACGTTGGAACGCCAAACATCAAGATCTTGGCATTTTGGCCATGGCTTGACGGTGACCTTCTCGTGCTCCTTTCTGGAAATCCTAGTTACCCAATCTTTGCCATCTTGACCAACATCACTGTTTGCAACACTAGCATCCTTGCCATCTTTCCGTTCCCAAAGTCCAGGAGGATTATCAGGAACGGGCTCGAATTCAGGGGCTTTGCTGTCTTTCAAAGATTCTTGCCCTTCTTCAGCTTGTTCCAACCAACTCTGGTATTCTTTCATCTCATCATAGTTCTGTTGAGCTCGTTCTTCAGACCGACGAAGCTTCTCACGTAGATCATCGATCTCGCTGTTGGTCTGGCTGTTGATGGCATTGTTCACGCTAGGTGATGGTGGTGGTGGTAGAGCAGGATCATGATTCTTTGTCGTAGAGGATGCCTTGGGCGTACCCATAGGTGTTGAAATCGATACCGCAAATGATGGAGTTTTGCCAGTAAGTGCAGTCGTCCTCGGAACTAGGGTCGTAGGAGGCACCGCTGATGGTGAAGCTGGTACTGTAGCTCTAGTCGATACTCTGCTCCATGACGCTGGCACCGTGCTCATTGTCAGTCTCGCATCATGAAGTGATTGTTTCAGTGAGTCATTCTTTCTGATCACATGGTCACGTTCAGAGCATGCCGACTGATAGAGCTTCTTGTACCTATCTGCCTCTGCCTCTTCGGCGTCGATGAGTGCCTCAGTGAGTTTCGGGTTGCTTTCAACTGCTTCTTGAAGTCGACTAATCTCCATGTTGGCTTTGTGAAGTTCTTCACGTAATTCTTCATTCACCTTGGCATTGTCTTCATCGCCACCGGCATGAAATCGAGATCCAAGAAGTTCAGCAACTCGTGTTCTCAACTGATTGGTGGACTCAATCAAAGCCATGTTCTCATCCATGAGTTCGTCCTTGACGCGCTCGATGGTGATCTCCCTGTCCTTGAATGCACTGAGTTCATCATGTTTGAACTGGCGGAACTCGTTCCTCTCGTCAGTGAATCGATTTGTATACCATTCCCGGGTAGCACTCTCGTTCTCATTGATTTTCATGAGGCTTCTGATCTCCACCTCGAGTTCGTTGTGCTTCCGGTTGTACTCTTCCTCTCTCTCCTGAATCATGTTCTTCATGTCACGAACCTTCACGATGTGATCACGATTCGCATCATCCCTGATAGCAATGAGGTTGTCCTTGTGCGATAAACTAGCAGTCAGTTCGTCGATGGTCGATTGCATCTCTACCAACTGTTCATCACGTACTGCAACAGCTTGTTGGCCATATTCCATGTTCATCTCATTGTTATCAGCCATCATAAGTGATTGCTCTGATAGTTTCAGTTTCAATTGCTCCATTTCTTCCTTGCTCGCATTCTCCCTGTCTTGGACATACTGTGTACATGCTTCACGCAGTTGTAGCCCATCTTGACGAAAGTGAATTGTCATAGCTTCAGATGTGTCATGTTGTTGACGAATGAGTTGTGATGCGTTCTCTAGTTCAGTGAGATACTTTCCCCTCATCTCCATACTTTCCCGAACAATGTGTGCCGCACCTGCTTCAGCAAGTTGACCACGCTTCTCCAGCTCGATGATCCTCATTGTTGAACCTTCGTCCAGGAGATGCGCCTCAGCCAGTGCGATCGTCTGCTCTTCAAGTACATGGTGTGCATCGATGAGGGAAACTCTCACGAATTCCATCTCGGAGTTGACATGTTCTTGATATTCTTCATGATGTTGATGTGAATAGATCTCCATGTTGTTAATCATCTGATCACGGTGTGCAAGAACATCCTGATAAAGACTTAGTCTGTTTTCCAGTTCAGTCCTTGCCCGTTCGCTCCTCTCCAGCTTCTCGGTGTTATGTTGTAGTTGACGTCGAAGACGTGCCTCGCTCTCATTCCTCGTAGCGCTGGTCGATGGCTTGCGTTTGGATGAGGTGGTAGATTTACCTGCCTCATCCTCCCGCGTGGCCGCGCCCGACGGGCTTCGGCCACCGCCGTCTTCTGCAATGCGAGACCTTGCAGCGCGAGGTGATCTTGCCGATGTTGCTCTTCTGGCACTTCCTCCATGAACTACGTCAGCTTGATTGACCACTGTGAAGCTGCTTGTTGATGCTATGCTTCCAGCAGCACGGTAGGACATCGTGCCGCCGCCGCCGCTTTCTTGGGATCCAGGCGTGTCATTGATTGCCTGGGCCGGAGCGACATTCGCTCCGAAGGAAAAGCTTGTGTCGTTGCTGCTCGACTGGTTCTTTTGCGACATCTTCTTGTTGTCAGTCCACCTCCGTTTTCCCCAAGCTCACGTCTTGTAGTAGGGCAGGAGGACCAGGATGCCGAAGGGGTTGAGGATAAAGTGGGACCACCGTACGCCCAGTGATGAGCGTACGGCTGATAACCTGTGAATGGACTGTGACTTGGCCCTTGAACTTGTATTTGCCGTCGGTCTTGATCGGGTACTAGTAATTCTCCACCTCCCCAGGGCAGCGCAAGCGGTGTTCCTTTTCTCGCATGGGAAAGCGTCGGGTTGCTTGAGCCGCGTGCCACAGATGACAAGAGGCTGTGGCACAAGGCAAGTACTGGACATCACGCTATTTAATTCCTGCCTACACTGCTTTCGCATTTATTATACTGAATACTGACTGACTATACTATACTGACTCTGAGACTATGATACAGCAGTCGATAATACACGTCATGTATCACTATCACCGGTCAGAGATGGTGAACTACTGACACTGATGTGCTTCAGTCTCAGTGACGGTGTGAATGGTGGAATCTGAATTTTGCTGCGCAGCGGCTAAGGATTGTTCATCGACGGCAACATTCAACGGCGTCTGCCACTGTGTCGAGAAGTCACAGCCATCAGCCTTCATCCTTGAGAATGTAGACTCCATGGACACTTCTTCTGGGGAGGAAGACGACCGAGAGTGACTCTGCTACAGCAGTGCTGCAGAAGAGTCTTTGAGATTGGTTCTCAATCGAGTGAAAATTCAAAATTCAAAATAGTTTGTCATGTCGGTTCGCGACATGTCATGTTACATGATATGGTGAGTTTGAAGGATGGTTCTTCTTCGTCCGATAATTGATGTCACTGGCACATACATGCATGTATCATATACTGTACTGTACTCATACATACTCATGTATCATGTACTGGAATTGTGACTATGACTACGACTATGACCCAGTTTCCTGTGTTTCGATGTCGGTGTATTGCGCTGTCTTTTCCAAATTTGAGTCAAAGTCAAATTGAAAGTACAAAGTAAGTTAGTTGCAAAGTTTTTTCTTTCAACAGCAGCAACAGATGATTCAGGATCAGTATCGGTAAAATATTTAAAGCAATAGGGAAAATCTAAAAATAGTAATAATAATGATAATGATAATAAAGTGTTCTGAAGCTAGCAGTTGATCTGACTAACTAACTGGCATCATCTTACACTTACACAGTACACAGTACAGTACACACTTACAATTATTACAAAATCACTGTCCTATCCGTGTCACTATCAAACAGGGCATTTGCTTTGGTTGATGCTTTGCTGGCCCTGATAAGGCAGACAAAATCAAACCTTCAAATGGCCTTAAGCTATTTGGAAGGCCTCGGCTACACTTGCTGCGCTGAAAAGCTGAAGACATCCGATTTTGGCATGCCCCAACGCCGGGACTTCTTGCTGAAGGATGATGACCGGGTAGTTTTGGCCGAATTGAACCATCGATTGAATGCTGGAGACCGGCGAGCTCAAAGGAAAGCTTCTTCTGAGCCTGGTCCTAGCTCGTGGGCAGCACAGCAATCTCGCTGAGCAATTAGGTGTGAAGTGGCCACTCACGCCATCCACACACTTGACGCAGTCTCGATGGTTTGAAGCTCTGCCAGACAGGGAGCAACAGGCAACTTGGCTTGGGCTGAGTTTCTGTTTCAGTTTCATTTCAAGTTATTTCTATCGAATTACCTGCCTGTAATTATCGGTTATTAAATTTTAATATATTATATTTCTTAATTAATATAGTTTAAAATATTTTTAAATATAATTTTAATTTAAACAGATATTTTTTATAATATGTAATAGCATTTTTTAATAGCATATATAATATATACAAAAATGATATTAAACTATATTTATATATAATATGATATATGATTTATAATTATTTGAATGAAACAAAATATTTTTAAGAATCATATAGTAGATACTTAGATACTAGTCCTCCCTACTAACTACTCACTACTACTACTACTACTACTACTACTACTACTAACCTATAGACTATAACCTAAAATAATATTCAAAATTGATTGCATACAATTTTACAATACAATACAATACAATACTAATTCAATACAAGCACAACATACTACAATTACAATTATAATTTTAGTCAGAATAATTATTTTTCAAATTGTGATCACCGAAAATAAATATGTAATACAGTACAGTAATACACAATACATAATACAATACGTAATATTTTTATTTTATATTACAATTAAAATATATATTATATTATTTGTATTTGTATATCTTAATATTCTAAATAATTTTGGTTGTTACTATTTTATCTAATATATATGTTATATATCATTATATCATATCATTTTTGTAATTTGTAACAGTATATCATCTGATAATATATGACTAATAATACTTCTTTGAAAACATAAAGCAAGACAATACTGATACATGTGTACTATAATACAAATGAAATAAATGAATTTTCTTCAATATATATAATGACTATGAATCACCAGATTTACAGATATGAATATTTTGATTCGGTTCGATTTGAATTTTCGATTATTCAAAGAGCTGAGATTAGATGAGGATGACAATCATGGTGAGACGTGGCAAATGACTCACTCACTCCTCTTTGTGTGATGGATGTGATTCGGTGTGATATCCATGTGTGATGCTGCTGCTTGTGTTGCTTCACAAGTTCCCATGACAATGGGAATGAGGCCCTGTGCTTTGTGGAGCACTGGAATCAGAGAAACGAGGAGAACAACAAGGATGTTTTTGCCTTCGCGGATGTATCTCAGACAGTTACAAGGATGCCCACGAGTTTGTCAAAGACAAAGGCTTGGGGTCTGGGGTGGGTGGTGGGAGTAACATGCAGAGACAGTCGCAGCGCAGTCATTGATTTAAGCTACCTAAGTCTAAGTCTATTTGTGATTTACGACGCCCCCTGATGATTGATGATGAGTTCAGAATGAGTCCGTCAGTATGAAGACTGTTGTGGTATTTGCTCTTGGTGATTTGTGATTGGTATCATCTCAGTAGTAGTAGTAGCAGTAGCCTCTCCAGCCTCCAACTGTCTGGTAGGTAGTTCCAACCATACTCCCCGGCTCCAAGCTATGGCATGTCGAACAGGGACGGCTTCTGTTGGGCCACTTCAACTTCAACTTTCAGCTTTCTTTCAGTTCAATGTCTTTACATTATGTTTACAGTTCTTTTCATGAGCAGTGCACTGCGCTTTGACAGATCATAGGCCACGAATTATTATGATTGATGATTTGCTTGGATGATGTTGGATTGGATGTTACTGAGACTGACTGCATGTGATTCTGTGATGTATGATTCATGATTGATTGGTGATGATTGATGCTGCTGCTAATGATGACTATGAGGCTCTGAGACTTTTGTTTATGAGACTTATGAGGTTCATGACTCATGATGAATTCGGCGATGGTGATGATGAGGATGTTGATGATACTACTGACGATGACGATGATTTGATTCGATGATGAAATTGAGGACAAGAACTTCTTGCTCTACAGGGCCTGTTTGTGACAGACCTGATTGCCCCGGTGGAGCACACCGATGCCCAGTTGGCCAATTCGGCTGGAAATTTGTTTCTTGGTAGGGGGGGGTGGCGAAATTTGTTACTTTGGCTCACGGCTCACTGTTCACTGTGTTTTGTATACTTGAATGCTGCTGCCGAGATTCCTTTGGTGTGTTTTTCTGTGGACACTTGACTCGACACTTGACATTGACTGATGCAGTAGGCAGTAGGATGAGGACCAGGACCAGGATGTTTGTTCTCTGGAAATTTAGTATAGTCAGAGTCAGAGTCTAGTCGCTGTCAAGTCTAGTCAGTATCAGACTCAGATTCAGGCAGGTCCTTTTCCGACTGTAGACTGTAGCGCTTACAAATCATAATTACTAGATTACTAGATTTTATCAGTGGTTGATGTTGTATAGACTGGTGGCTCGACTAGACTGACTGATCAAATCACATCAGACTGCACATCAGAATCATATCAGCATCTTCCACTGTCATGAGATGAGTCATAAGTCATGAGTCACAAGTCATGAAGTCATGGTCATGAGTCATGATTATTATTTGGTGATTGTCCTAAACTCAAACTCATCTCAGGTAGTCAATGCCTTGCATCATGGCCGCTTTGCTGGCTGTATTTTGCAGTGTCCGCTTCGATACACAAAGTGATGTGGAGGATATGAATGAAGCGACCACTGCCCTGGAGCAGTGGAAAGCACAGGCAAAACGCCGTGCTTCCTAAATAATCCACCACCCGGAAATTCGGATCAGAACAGCAGTGCTTGAAGGGCGCAAGAGAAGGAAAGAAACGCAATGCTGCAGTCTGCAGTTGGCAGTTGGTTTGAATTTTCAGAGCGATTGTGCTAGCAGCACTCAAGGGCTCACTAGTGAGTGAGTCACAATTTTGACCCACAAATCGTCGTTGATCCCTGATAATATTATATAATATAATACACTGTCACTACTACTACACCATATTTTAATATCAATACATTTTTATTGATATTCAAATATTTTATTAATTAATCTCATTATAATTCTTATATAATTTATAATTATAATGATACAACAATTATTGTTCTTTGTCGCCAGCTTACCCCTATCCGTACCCCATCGTACCATACCTATCCGTATACCGTACCTATCCGTACCGTACCTATCTGGCCGTATTCGTACCATGCCGTTCCACCGTACCTACCACACCACACCGTACTGTACCATCATACCGTACCACCATACCGTGCCACAGCACCTCCGTACCCAATGTCCGTACCAACCCACCGTACCCATCCCCACTATGCGTACCCACCGTACGTTCCCGTACCGACCACATAAGTCGTACCTAATTATTTTAGGGTCCCCGGCTGACCGATAGAGCATAACTCTTAAGAATTAATAATGTTTATGATTGTTTATGTCTAATATGTGGTCATATGATCACACGCTGATCACATTGCACTGATCTCTTCCAAGGCCTGAGAGTGTCTCCTGCGGACTTCAGCTCAGGAGTGGCGTCCATCTGAGCTTTGTTTTTGGCAAGGGCGCTGTCAAACCTAAGTGATGCTGATGTGATGCTGCTATCACGCTGTCAGGTTCTTGGTAAGCTGTGAGTGGCGAAGGGTAAGCCACTCTTTGTGACATATGTATAAAAGGTACTCTTCTTGGAGTCTGATTTTCTGACACGCGCATCACAATTGTTTGGGATTTCGGACCAAAACAATGGAAGATCACACCACAGGCCACGCAATACGGTCGTTTGCAAAATGAAAACCAGGCCGAATCAAGAATGAAGGCCTTACTATTCACTTATTTAATGTCATAAGTGCCATGGAATCAAGATGAATCAAGCATATCTGGGCCAGACTTGCTCATGAATACCCTTGAGTCCTTCTCCGGGGATGTGGACTTGGTGCCAGCAAAAGTGCTGAGGTGGTCGCAAATCGAATTTACCTTCACTGAAGGCCTCTCAGGTGAAAGACATCGTCTGGGCAGCTGGGGCAGCTGGCAGCTAACAGCGTTCCCTCATTTCTCAGGCAGTGTTGAGTATGAAGAGATGGCTGCTTGAAGCAATCAGATTTGCAAAACCGATAAGACTGATCAGCCGTGGGTAAGAGTAAGTGGGTACATGGACCATGGACCTTCGAAATGCATTGCCTGAGAATCTGAATTGGGTTTTGCTGAGTTGTGTTCTCCAGTCTCATGGCCTGTAGAAGTTCTCTGATCCAAGCAAAAGGAGAGCCTGTGTCGAGCAAACGGGACCGGAGTAGACTGGCAGTGCCGGTGCTTCGTTGGGTATTAGTTGGTTAAACTATGTTAAACTGCATTAATATTCCACAACAATTTGAAGTCCTCCTCGATGAAGTGCAGCTCTGAAAGATTCTGAAACAGACCTGATTATCATTGATTATGCTGATTCTCTGTCAGTATCAGTAAAATGCATTGAAATGTAGCGAACTGCAACGCCGGGGCCTTCCAAAGATGGAATGATCTCCTGCTGAGTCAACTCGCCAAAGTTGAACTCCTCTTCAGCCACCAAGGCGGAGACCACCGTCTCAAAAGCAATGCGCGGTCGCTCCTGGGCAGAAATTTGCCACAGGTCCTGGGGACATTAACTATCATTATATATCTTAAGTATTTAATGCGGCTATATTCAGCTATATAACCATATAATAACGAACCAACGATTCAATAACATGGGGATATTAATGTAAACCTACATAACGATTTGGCTTTGTCGTTGCACGCTTATCAGAAGCTCCAAGACAGAAAGGTTTAATAGAGGCGTGATACCAAAATACAATGTATATTGAAAAAATAAGATTAAGATTATAGATTCTAATGAAGTGCAAACATGAAGAGTATCTCCCAGAAGTAACTGAGAGCAATGAGTCTCATCTACCGACACCGTCTCGCTCCCTCAACCCGGAGCATGGCACTCCTCTACTGGGATAGCTTCGAGTGGGGTGAACGCTAAATACAGGATGGAGCTCTTGTAGAACCTCAGGTCAGCAGCAAGCCATTGACAATCTCTGCATTTTCTAGAGCAAGCGCACAAAGGATGAATACACATCCCCCAACTACCCAGGACTAGGCCACTCAATTCTACTCCGCAGGGTGAGCCCAGGAGACAAGACGAGACAAGAGGTCTTTGAGTTTTTTTTGCGTCATGATTAGAGTCATTTAGAGTCATTAGAGGCAATTGTTTTTCGACACCACTGAATCCGACGGAATCCACTGAGCTTGAGGCTCTTGGGGCCGACTCAGAGTCTTCCAAAGCAACGCCTTGGTCTTGTGGAAGTGCGACTGAATCAATGCCTGCACCTGCCAAAGGAGAGACACGTGCAAATTTCAAATGCTGTCTGTGCCAAGGATTTGTATACAATATATGATTTGGTTGTTTCTTGTGGCACTCAGTATGTTTGGACCATGTTGGACCCATCTCCCAGTTTTGCTTTGGAAAATAAGGCTGAATCATCCGTGATGGTAAGCTCCCGGGACTGGAGTGTAATATGCTAGACACAAGAAACATGATGAGTGTAACTTTTGCAAAACGTCTAGAATGCTCTTCAAGATTCAAGAGGTTTGCATAGTTTTGCCTTGACTTGTCATAAAAAAACCTGTCAGATCTCTCAGTTTATCTCAGTTCCACAATGTTCCATGTTTACCCATCACAGTTGTAACATATTGGAAATCAAACGTGTGTGCGCAAAAATAAGAACAGTGAGGTGGCAAACTGCTAGAACTGCTATGAACTGATTCAAAACCACCGAATTGCCAACGGTCCATCTGGGTCAGGTCCAGATTGGGCTTGCCTCGTAGGCGGCTTCAATTTCGGACCCCAAGTTGTCAAGCAGCTCCTGTCGAAATCAAACCCAGAGGACCTGGAACGGAGGTTTCTCAACTGGCGACTTGCTAGGCAAGTACGAAAATGCACAAAAATGATAAAGTGGAATGAACGCCTCCTGTAGGAAATCTTCGCAGTGCAATGCATTGCATGGTCCAGCTCGCTTTTTACAGTACGGATCTTCTTGGCATTCTTTTGACTTTCAGTGGTGGGATGGTGTCAAACACTGGAAACACAACAGCTCGCAGGCCTTGGCTGCCTCTGTGTCTCCAGATAGAGTGAGCTTTTCCCCCTGAAAATAGGACAACCAGTGGCATAGATACGACTACATTATCTGCGAATCACGACTTGCGAATTGCATTCGCCATGAACATCCGTCAACTCATCATGGATCCTATTGTGGATCGATTGACTCCATGGACATCCTAGAATTGCGTTCTTATTCTGCACCGGAAGTCCCCGAAGCCTGCTGTAGAGTTCACAAAACACTTTGATGAAGACACAACATGGCAATTGATAAGCTCAGAGATTCAGAAGGGCATATGGCAAGAAACATGGATTACTGGATTATAAATACTGCACAGGTCTTGTTCCTGCCTTGGGCTCACTTTCCTATGGCCATGGTGTACTTGGTTCCCCCTATGCAGTGTGCCTTCAAGGTCTGCCACAGAAACTTGGCATCTCGGCTGCCAGACATGGCTTCCTGTTGCTGGGATGGCACTTTTCATCTACTGGGAATTTCAATAGTACGTAAGTACCATACATATTATCACATATCATGCCATAAATTCAGATATTCATCTGATACAGTATCATCTATTCATATACATTCAATACAACTTATATATATATATATACACATACTCATATCATATATTCAGGTTTGCACTCCTTCTTTGCATTCCTTCAGGTCAAGGTACAGTACCATGATTTGGTGTTGCGGGGAGTGATGCGGGGAGTGAGTGGCTCATCTCCATCCCCATTCCATATCTTCCATGACTCCTCAAAGGGCGCAATGAGATCGAGGGCTACTGCAGGCGTCTGGGGTTTCGCAATGATCGAAAGGATCTGCACCTTGGCCGTGGATGACACCACTGTATTTAGAAACTATGACAAGCATTGACAAGCTAGCTTTACATGCATGTTCCATCACACAGATTCGCGCAGCCATGCAAACGTACTGCAACATACAACAGAGTTAGGGAAGTGGCCACAGAAACAGTCGGAATTCCAGGGCTCAAAACATGCCTCTCAGATCCTCTCAGCACAATCGCCCCTGTCACTTTGGATGGTCCCACGTTCACTTAGGACGAAATTTTTAAGGTCACTTACGCCGAAAATGACCCCCACACATTTTCGACATCACTTGCGACGAAAAACCTCTGATTACCTGTAAATTTCCACGAAATTACGCTACCACGAAATGCAAAAAAAACGATCAACACTTCATCTCTCATTCATGTTCCGCAACCTCATCAGCTTTCTTGCTGTTGAGCAGAGACAGGCACAGCTCTTTCATGATCAGTTACCGGTGGGGTGGGGTGAGTTAATAAGGTTCATGTTCCTATGCCTGCACACGCACAGCAACCTCATCATCTTTCTTGCTGTAGAGCACTTACACGCACTGCTCTTTCATGATCAGTTACCAGTGGGGTGGGGTGGGGTGGGGTATGATAACGTTCATGTTCCTATGCCTGCACACGCACAGCAACCTCATCATCTTTCTTGCTGTAGAGCACTTACACGCACTGCTCTTTCATGATCAGTTACCCTTGGGGTGGGGGGGGTGGGGTGGGGTGGGGTGGGATGATAACGTTCATGTTCCTATGCACACACAGGCACAGCAACCTCATCATCTTTCTTGCTGTTGAGAAGAGACAGGCACAGCTCTTTCATGATCAGTTACCGGTGGGGTGGGGTGAGTTAATAAGGTTCATGTTCCTATGCCTGCACACGCACAGCAACCTCATCATCTTTCTTGCTGTAGAGCACTTACACGCACTGCTCTTTCATGATCAGTTACCCGTGGGGTGGGGTGGGGTGGGGTGGGATGATAACGTTCATGTTCCTATGCACACACAGGCACAGCAACCTCATCATCTTTCTTCCCGTAGAGCAGAGACAGGCACAGCTCTTTCATGATCAGTTACCGGTGGGGTGGGGTGAGTTAATAAGGTTCATGTTCCTATGCATACAGATGCACAGCAACCTCATCATCTTTCCTGCTGTAGAGCACTTACACGCACTGCTCTTTCATGATCAGTTACAAAACTGCCTCACTCAAAATCTCAAGATTTTTCTCCATCCCTACTCTTGACAGCCTGAACACTACAAAAACTCTAAAAGCGTAAATCTCCTACAGATCTATTGTTAGGCACTCTGGTGCTATTCGCAACACAAACTTGCGGCAATGCAGCGCAGTGAGCACATCTGATTTTATCCGCAGAGCATAAGGATCGCGTAGAGGGAGAGCAACACAGTCGACGTGCAAGCACACAAGCGCCACTTTTATACGGCAATTTACAGGTAAAATACTGATACCACTACAAAGCCGCACAAACGACATCAAAAACAACACGCGCAAAAGCGCCACTTTGTACGCAAATTTACAGGTCAAAACCCGACGCCAAGAAAAAAGCGGCACAAGCGACGTCAAAAAAAACAACACGTCAAAACACCATTTTATACGGTAATTTACAGGAAAAATGTCGATACCAAAAAAAAGCGGCACAAGCGACACAAAAAAAAAGCGGCACAAGCGACGCAAAAAAAAGCGGCACAAGCGAACGCCTCACCACTTTGGATTCACCATTTGGGGCTCTGGCCCATCGCACTTTGTCAAACTTGGAATCAAAGCCCTTGATGAAGCCTCTGGACATCTCTGGACGCGGTCAATGGATGTGCATTGGGGGGTACGATCCCCGCTTGCCTGGGTGCACCCATAGCTTGCGACGATGGGTGATGATGATGTGATGATGGATATTTGATGGACATTCATCCCCTCAAGGAGTTCTCGCAAAGTAATGATTTCCACGATGGTTCCGCTAAGGCCCAACTGTCGAAGAAGCCCTTTAGCTCATCGGCTGCTGCTGGACTTGTGAAGGGTGGACTCACCAAATACCTCCCAAGACTCCAGGCGGGACAGGACAGGTTGCTTTGACGCGTTTGAGGAAGTGAGGACATCCCTCGGCTCTTTAAATTGGAAACGGAAACTAGAATCTCCACTGACGCGTGTTATAGTTCCTGGCCTTTTGCTTCTGTTTTGGGTGCAATCATGCTCCCCGAGGCCTACAAATCTTCAAACCCACTTCAAAGGCTGAACCCCACTGCAGAGGAACACACTGATGATTTCAGTTTGAACGAAAAGTGTTGAAGTCAACTGTGGCACTAGACTGGCAGGAAGAGGTCCAAACACCTACTTATATAGTGATCAATCAGATGGTGGAACACTCTCTCTCCTCAGTCTCTTAATGTTTCTTAATGTTTGCTATATAGTTCAAGTAGCATCAGCATGGGTCAAGACTTGACAAATCACATTCAGGATTTAGCTCCTCAGCAAGATGTGATGGGACTGATGTTCCACGTTGCTCCTGAAGGTAATGCCCAAACTGACCTCCAAAACAGTCATCCAAACTAAGTGGTGCCCCATGGTCATCCCAAAATTGATGTATTTACCATTCCGTTTTTCTATGTTTGCACTGTTCGGCGCACTCCAAGAGAGTTTGTGTCAATTGGTGGTACCTGAGGGAAGCTGACGGACTCTGATGGTAAGTTCCATGATACTCCAGAGCCATAACTTTTGTGTCACAAGTAGCTCTGGGATCTCAGATCAAGGCTCAAATGTCAGAAAAGCGCTGATTCGCTGGTGCAACCGATTATATACACCAAGGCAGGAATAGCATTCTAAGCCAAAATGGAAAAACACATGTCTTCCGACAAACCGCAAGCACGTGGATCTTTCTTGTCACTTTGCATTTACACTATTTACACCATTTTCCGCCAAGTTCAATATACTGCTATTAAAAATGTATTAACATGGGTCGAACGGGAAGTCAACTCCAAATGGCTCAGTATCTGACAGCTTGGTAGTCATGTACTTCTGCATCTTGTCCAGCTGCTCACCCAACTCTGGATGAGCCTCACATGGCTCTGCCACTTTCCCTTCAATACTCTGGAAAAACGACGCAGCTAAGGAAAACGATTGAAAATTAGCAAAAACTGTGCGAGGTGCAGTATATGCTCATATGCCGGCATATTTCAAGTGTCTTGCTGTCGCTTCTCCGTTGCTTCTGTGTTGCTTCTGTGTTGCTTCTGGCAAATGTGTGGCCAGGTGTGCAACACGCTGCACCTTGCGCTGCGCTTCCAGCGCTGCACCCGGATCGACCTCCATGGCGCCTGTGACATTGCGGATGAACAGGGTATCTCACGCTTAGATCGCTGAGGTATTCAGTCCCTCAGTTCCTTACAGCAACCATCAGCAACCACTTTAACTAAAATCCTGCACCATAAGTTTCTGGTGGATAGCGAAAATATATGAAAATATGGAACAAACATCTGTTCTCCACAGTCTAAACATTGGCAGTCTCAAAAAGATAAATTTGACGCTGTAATTCAAGATGGTCACAGCAAACACCTACGCAGCCACCAACCACAAGTTTCACAAATTTAGACTTCACAACATTGCACTAGCATTGCACCAGCGCACTACGTGGCCAGCTGTGCCATACCGTGCCTCGATCTGCGCGAGAGAAATCGTTTCCTTGAGCCGAAAGGCCTCAGGTGAATCCAAAGGCCTGCGCCATGGACCACGGACGGTGATCTTGTTGACCGCTGTAGCTAACGATGTCTAGCCAAAAAAACGCCAAAAAGAAGGATGATCGTTGGACGGCGAGTCCGAAAGAACTAGGCTGACAAATTATATCTGACATAGCTACTACATATTACAGTCACTGTCGATTCCGGAAAGGCAGCAAGTCTGGAAAAACATTGATACACACAGAACACCATATAATTGCAGTCTAGCCTTCAAAAGTAACACCCTGACATAGCTTCCAAGGAGACCTGTGTTTGATATATTGTCAATGGGTATTGGCTACAAAATGCTACAAAGAGCGCTTCAGACCAAATCGCAAGAATCTGACTTGCATGCGTTGCAGGGTCATCGATGGTCATCCCACTTCAGAGATGCAATGCGACACATAGCTGACGTGCATGCTGCTGATATCTCCTGATCCTGCTGGCCCATGTGATCTCCCTGAAAGCAGTTGCGGCTCGGTCGGCTCTGAAGTTGAATAATCTTTTTGAACCAAGCTATGCTGTCCTGTTTCGCTCTTCCAATCTGTGTGTGGAATGATGGCCAGGCTCCCCCTCAAATGCCTTTCAGGTCTTGCAATGACCACGTGGGCGCAGAAACATCTAGACTCGCAACCACTCAACAAATGTCAACGCAAAAGAGTGATGAGTTCACAGGTCATACACTGATCATCTTCATTTCAGGTGAAACCAACAAAAAAGACACAGAACAATGTAATCACAAACAGCTTCAGCCTTGTCTACGGCACCTTCTTTTGCGGTCCCAACCCTCTAAAGTCGATGATTGGGCAAAAAGTGTTGAGGCAGGACAAATCGGAAAACAAACAGCAACAAGTGATGACGCTTGCGGTTGGATCCGAAAAATGTTGTCTTTGCACTTGGCAGTCTATACTTCTGAGTCCAGCAACACAGAGAATGTAGGGTTTTACACAAAAATAAAAAAAGAAAAAAGAAAACCAGAGCAAACAGAAAAAACAAACCAGAAAACAAGAAAATCAAAAAAACAATTACTTTACTTCGTGTGATCCCCACCATGACATTTATACATTTTGTTACTGGCAAATCTTCTGGCATTCTATCTGACATATCTTCTGGCATTCTATCTGGCATATCGTCTGGCATTCTATCTGGCATATCTTCTGGCATATTATCTACTCAAATCTTCTGGCATTCTATCTGGCAAACATTCTGGCACTTAATCTGGCATATCTTCTGGCATTCTATCTGAAATTTTATCTGGCATTCTATCTGGCATACCTTCTGGCATATCTTCTGGCATTCTATCTGGCATATCGTCTGGCATTCTATCTGGCATATCTTCTGGCATTCTATCTGGCATATCTTCTAACATTCTATTTGGATCCATGTGTAATTTAGGGGTGGAACCTGGGTAGCTGCCATTTTATAATGCTAAAATGGTTTGTCAGGGGGGTACTCCCTCTATAAAGTACTCCTTGGGGTACACTTGTAGAATCACAGGCCTACAAACTGGAAGGTACCCAGGTTTCATTTTTGCAAACCACACTTCTCAGCAAGGCTTCCAAAATCATCTCTATAAAATGCTCCTTGCCCAAACCAGTCGCAAAAACCATTTTCCAGCTTGATGGAACTTATGCATTTCATTGCATTTCATTGCATTTCTGGTTGGATTCTATTTTATAGAGGTGAAAGTGGCAAATCACAAGTCTGCAGCAGGCTCCAGCCAATTTTTTCTTCCCGTGTTCTCAGGCTGTATATATCCCACTTCTCTGTCTATAAAATGGAAGTTTGTTGGCTGGACTGCTCCCAGTACCCTACATATCTCTACATAATGGATTTACTTTTTGGATCATCCTTTATTCTGTTGGATTCTTTTCAACTGGATTTGGCTGTCTACCCTGGCATTTCCCTGATGTCTCCCCGTCTAAGGCTACCTGCCCAAGAACCGTTCCCTTCAGATCCAGTTTTCTATTCTATAGTGGTCCTGGTTGAAAAGAGAGGTTGTTCTACCATTTTATAAAGACATATAGTGCAGTTTTCTATTCTATAGTGGTCCTGGTTGAAAAGAGAGGTTCTCCTACCATTTTACAAAGGCATATAGTGCAGTTTTGAGCTTGCTGGCATTGCTGCAACGGACGGCATACCGCTTTATACCGCTGCAATCAAATTGTGTTGATACATGTTGATACAAAACCTTGAAAAAAACAATGCACACGGGCACTCTATAAAGTGGAAGTTCAGCCACACCACGCATCGAAACACCCTATCTATAAAATAGCACCACAACATTGCACAGCCAACATTGTGCTATAAAGTGGAGGCCTGTGCCACCCCTACTAAATGAACAGCTTTCCTGCAGTAAGACCCCAAGTGGCCTCTATAAAGTAGTACTTGCCCAAAAAGAAAATAGATATACATATCCTGATAAACCATTCAAGAACCACTCCAAACATTCTGTTTTCCATTTTATAGTGCCTGAAAAAAGGGTTTAGCAGGGTACCCGGGTGCGACCATTTTATAGAGGAAATGGCCACCAGGATCTATTTGGCATATCTTCTGGCACTCTATCTGGCATATCTTCTGGCATTCTATCTGGCCGTTGAGGTCCAGCGGTGCACACTGAGCTGGGAAGGTCCCAGGTTGAGGTCCAGCGATGCACACTGAGCTCGGAAGGTCCCAGGTTGAGGTCCAGCGGTGCACATTGAGCTGGGAAGGTCCCAGGTTGAGGTCCAGCGGTGCACACTGAGCTGGGAAGTTGGCAAAGAGCTTGGCGAAGAGTTGGCAAGGCGGAAGTTGAGGTGGAAGTTGATGCAGACATGGTCGAGGCGAAACAGGCGGAGGAGAAGGAGGAGGAGAAGAAGGAGGAAGAAGAGGAGGAGGAAGAGGAGGAGAAGAGCTAGCCGAGGAGGAGAAGAACAGCTCTGATATAATCTAACAACCCTCACCTGGCAGGTGGGGAACAACTTAGGAACATCCAGTTTTTTTTGTTATGCGTTTTCTTTTTTTTGTTTTTTCTGGTGATTCTTCCAGTCAGTTTGTTTGTTTGGGGAATTTGTTTTTGTTTTTGTTTCGTTTTTTCATTGCTAAAATGTTTTTTCTCTGCTCCCGTTGGCCTCATAAGTCTATACTTCTGCTGCAACCTGGATTGGAGTCTGCATGAATTTGACTCCAGCGCTGGCTTTCAGAATCACTAAATATGAGGAAGAAATACATAGGAAAAGCACAACCCAAACCTTTAAGTCTGCATGAACCACCGAAGAACTATCAACTGGAACATGTTTGACAAGATCACACAAACAAAGGACTTCAAAGAATGAAAAGGCAGCCAGCCTTATTGCCGTACCAACGGCATGTGATGTCATCTGGGAGCAGTTTTGGCCTTGGCGTGCATC